GCCTAAACACCGTGCTGCAAGCAAAGGTCATCCACATGCCGGCCAGTTTGGGTCAATCGGAGTTAGCGCGGGAGCTGCAGGGTCTGCAGGAAGAGCAATTGGACTGGCAGCCGGAATACATCCGACTGGTAGGAGCACTCGTCTACGCGGTGGAGCAGTGCCTCATCCGACAGTGCTCAAGGGCCATGCGCGTAACCGCCTGGCAACGCATGGACCTGGAGCTACGTAAGAAGATTCAGACGCTGGCTCGTCTCACAGAACCGCTGGACATGAAGCGGCAAAACGGCAAGCCGGTAGGTAAGGCCTTTTCCTTTGGCGGAAGCACACGCAGTCAGGATCTCGTGCAGATCAAGTTGGCCATTCAAGCTCAGACGAAGCGAGCCCATGCTCAAGAGACACTTATGTACAAAGCTACGCAGACGCAGGACGCGTCTGGTGGAGCTGGTCACGTGCAAACTGCCGATAGGGGAGTGCAGGCGAATCATGAGTCCCGGGAAGGAGGCAGTAAGTTCGATATTTCTTATAAAGCATTGATGAGTTAACCATATCTCTTATTATCCAGGCAAACTGCTCAAGTCCAACTCCCGTGCGTATGTTCCGCATCGCGCCAGCTCCCAAGTGGCATCGGAGCGAAACAGCCTAAATCTTCATCGACGCACACAGTCTGAAGCTCCGCCAGTGACCCACAAGAAACCGAGTGTGGTTCCAGCTGCTACAGTAGAATCAAAGTCTGCCCAAGGAAAGGCTACCGTTGCAACTGCCAAACTCGGCGAAGTGCGACCCCGTTATCTGGAGCCGCGTAAGCCAAGGGCTGCGGCTCCATCTGCGACAAACGGCCATGGAGCCGGTCCCGTGCGCAGTGCCACCAGCTCGGGCATCCCAGCCAGTGCAGGCAGAAAGGCGCCAGCCAAAAACCTGCACATCTCATCCAGCGACAGCTCACGAAACTCCAGTCCGGCGGCACGTAGGGTGCAGAATGGCACACGGTTGGGCAACAAGTCCAGCAATCTGTCGATGGACAGCTTGGCATCGCCGGCACGTCGTGCTAAGAGCAGCTCTAGGGGACCACAGGACCGATACTCCTCCGACCAGAACTCGCTGGCGGAGAGCATGAAGAGCTCTGTGATCACCAACAAAACGATCTCACACGAGTCGCTCTCGGGTAGCTCGAAACTGGCCAAAATTCAGCAGATAAATGGCCATTCAAAAGGAGCTGCAACGGGCAAAATCAAGGCAACGCAGCGGGGCTCCACTGTCGGCAATAAGTCAACCCGCCAGCTAAAGCAACAGCACAATGCCATGGCCTCCAACGGGTCCAGTCCCAGTTCGGTGCACACGACCAAGTCGGCGGCCAGTCGCCTCTCCTCCGTCAGCAGCACGCTCTCCACACGGGAATTGTTTAAGCAGCGCTCCATTTCAGTGCCAGCAGGTGGCACAGATGGAGCGCCAAACAAGGGACGTCATAGCTTCCTATCGGCCAAGTCCCGAGAGATCCTGGCCAAGCGGGCGGAGAAAAACAAGCTACAGCAGCAGCAACAGCAACAGAAACAAACTGAAGCTCCTGTCGAGGACCGCGGCTCGGTCCAACTGCGATCGTCCGCCGGCCCCCTGCGCTCCTCCTCACATTCCGCGGTGTCGAGCATGCTGCAGCAGCATAATCTGCGTAACAGCCTGCCCTCCAACATTCCCACCAGACGCCCCAATACGCTGCATCTGAAGAAAACGACGGCGGCGACAAACGGAGTGGGTGGCCCCACTAAAACCACCACCAACGGGATCTCGAATGGAACGTACAAGTCGGCCCAGGCGGTGAAGCAGAAACTGGACCTGCTCATCGACGCCCAGATGGATGGTGTGGTGCCCAGGGAGCGTGTGGAGTCCAAGCTGGAGCGCTCAAGCACCTTCTGCAAAGACAGCGCCGATCTGGACATCAGCGAATTGCAGATAGTGGAGTAATCGAGTAGAGAAAGATAAGCAAGCGCATCCAATGGGGTGAGCATATTGACTGATGTTCTGAATAAGCATGTTAAGCATATCGAATCACTTATCTTTCCAGGTCGTATCAAATATGGCCCCGAGCAGATGCCGACCCGAATCCGGAACCATACACGTCCCATAAGGCAACACTAGTCAATAATCTAGCATGCAGCTGCCGTTGCAGTTGGCGCATGAAACCATTATACAATAACGATAATAACGAGATGATGTTACTACCAACAGACAACCGCGATAATTAAATACGTTATGACAGACATCCGGAACCCAAAACAAACACAACAAGTTATTGCCGTTAACCTAACCCACTCCGAAGTATAACTATATTAGCTTATTGCGTTAGGGAAGTTAGCGATGAATTGAATGCAAAGCGGATCAGACAGAAGAACTGGAGACAAAACAAAACAGAAAACTGAACATGAACATGAAAATGAAAACAAGTATTTGGTGATATTATTTAGAGTGCGCTTTATGTTTACGTTAAATGCCAAGCGACAAGTGCTTATAACCCGAACTCTCTACTCAAAGTACGATCTAGTGGATCGAGGATGCTCTACTATATGCTTTATGCACTTGCAGGCTGCATTTAAGGTCTTTTTCTCTCTATTCCCGCTTTATTATCAAAGCCCGCCCAATATAACATAATACATGTATGGAAATCTGTCTATATATGAGAAATGGATTGAAAACCATCTCTATAATTTAAGCTTGAACTTTTTATACTGTTGTTTATTTAACTCGTACTCGTAACAATGGCGCATTACTTCAGCAAGGCAACCAAGGAAACGTCTCTAACATTTTATTTTTTAAATTATTTATAAATTTTACTTATTTGGTAAACATTGAACGAAGCGAGCGAAAGTGAATTTTTGTAAGCAACGGCATTGATACATTGATAATGATAATGAAGTGCAAGAGAAATAAATGTGTGTATTTATTAAAAGTTACCATATATTAAACATGTCATTATTTATTTTATTTCGGTTGGGAAAGGAATCTTATAAATAAAGTTCGCTACCAACTAATAGTGAAATATTACCTAAATAAATGAATGCAATTTATTTATTAATAATTATCCAACTGCTGAATATAGTGGGCCTCATATCAAATGCTGTATAAATTCTTATTCTCCCCTTCTACATGTTTTCTATTCACTATTCTCTACAATTTAAGTATCATACAAAGCGCGACTCGCATTCATTTAAACTCCGCACAGCTGCTAATTACAATCGAAACTGGGGATTTCAATAATTATCGTATAGTCACATAATCCTTGATAATATTCGGCATGCCGATTACGGGCGTGTAAAAAGAGCTTACATGTACACTAGACCTAGCGGGTGGTAGCTATGAGTTCATGGAGATTACCCAGTGGTTGAACACATTCCGGCAGTGGATGACCACACACTCGTTGCTGCAGTACTCGTCTTCCCAGTCCGGATTTATGATGGCCGGCTTATTGCACTGCTCCCGAGTGCACTTCTGCACCCTAGCCGCTTCGGTGAGCAGCTGTATCTGATCGGGCGGCGGCTCCTGGACATCCACCGGCTGTGGCAGATCCTCGACGGCCTCCAATTTGGTTGTGACTAGCGGAGGTGGCTGGATGACGGACTGATTGGGAGCTACAGCTGGCAGGGCCTCTGCCTCCGACGTGGCCTCCGACTCGGACAGCTGGTGGCGATAGTCCCTCAGCAGACGGACATACTCGCGCTTCTCCTGCTCGTGCCGCAGAAAATAGACGTTCTTCTGCGTGTCGTCCAGACTCTCCCACATGGTTTGCACAATCACTTGCATTTGCTCCAACGAGCAGGACGGATTCTCCTGCTTGATGGCCGTTACTGTGTCCCGAAAGAACAGAGCAAAGGGCGCCAGGGGTTTGGATGGTGCCTGTGCCATGGCCTGGTTCTGCTGTTGCTCCGGCTGAGCCAGCAAGTTCGCCCCTCCTCCGCTGGCATATGTGTCGCAATGCTCCTCGTCATCTTCGTTTAACATGGATTGATCCAGGCTAAGCATTCTCCGCGACTGCAAAGATACAAAGGACATGACATTAGTGCCTGAATCATGGCTTCAGTTCCAGTGTGCTCACTAGAAACTTCTTCATCCCAATCACAGAGTGAGCAACTAAACTAATGTACAAATCGCTTGCCCAAGCCCAGATCAGTTGGGTGACTGACGCGGGGGTGGCAGCAGCAGTGGGGGCGGGGCTGTAGTGCTGTGTGCGTGTAGCTTGCGCTACTGATTGTGCGACTGGTGTGTGCGTGCCTTTTGCTGATAAGAAGCTGACGCGGCGTTTGTCCCGCTCGCCCAAGCGATAACCCAGCAGGTTGGGGAGGGAGAGCAGAGGAGAGATAGCTCCTCCAGCTGGTCGCTGGCCCGCAGAAGCTACAACCAGCTAGTGTGCCGCTCTATTCCGATTCCGATCTCTCCCGCTCATTAAAAAACCATTACGGCCATCGATGCGCGGCAATTAAGGCGGTCGGTGGTCGGTCAGCTGTGAAAACTCCCATTGCAGCCGGTGTACATTTGTACATTGGTCCAGTTGGACGCTCTGCTCCTCTGCATTGGACTCTAAATGGGATGGCCCTCCTCCACTTACGGCTTGGCTGGGGCTCTGGCTCTCCGCCGGCGTGTCGGTCAGCTCAAATACCTCGTCGCCAAATGAAGGAGTGTGGAACTGATTCATGACGCTCCTCCTGCAATTCTCCCAGGCTTATTTACAAATAAAATTAAACAATTATCGTGGGCCTTATTTAGTGTGACCGCAGGCGGGTTTGCGCTAAATGCGCCGGAACATTATTTTCGAACACTGTTTTAGTTCTCCAGCTGGAATCAGTTCAGGTTCATCGCAGACACATACGAGAACTAAAGAACGTTATTTATTTATACATTTATGAAAATATAAATGTATTTTCTTAAACATATTTTCAATCCTTTAAACTAATATATCTGTGGGGAAACAAAAATTAAAGAGAACCAGCTCTGTTCCAGCTTAGTTCCAGTTCCGCCTTTGAAGTACCGTTGCTAGAAATATTTAGTCCATGTTGCTGTGATCAAAATTGACACGTTTATTAAAATTAGATTAGATGTCTGGAAACTAGCAATAGAATTCTTTTTGGACCGTAAACTGCAAAATTTACATATGATCAGTGTGAAAAGAATGCCTTGGAGCAATGTGCGCATATTTCTGAAGCTCGCTTCCCAGCGATGCCAGCTCCTAAGTGTGGGCTCCAAACAGGAGGCGTCTGGTGGACACCGACCGGGATCCTTTGAATCGGATGTGCTGGCGAGTGCTTCGAATGCCAGACACTTGGAGTGCCTGTTCACCAAGTGGATGAGGGACAATAACTCGATCAATGGAGTGGGTGATATATTTCCCTGTGGTCGAAATACCTTAAAATTGATTACCTATTGATTTCGCAGACCTGGCAGAATTTCTTTAAGGGAATGCTAATGGAACAAATAGAGTCGCAACCGTCTTGTAGTCCTGGCTGGAACAAAAAAGCAGGAGGAGATGTTCTTCCCTCGGTGAGGCTGATAATCTTTAATATGCTCTTCATTCTTTAATTTCTCGAACCTAATTACAGATAGGAACCACTTCGCCGATAGATGCAGCGATTGGGGCTCCAATTCTGGGAAGGAGAACAGTAGTCTCCTATTCGGCGACTCCATTGGACGCTTCGGAAGGGGACTCCAACAGTTGCGTGGCTCCGTGTCAAAAGCAGGATATCGGAGTGCTTTCACACTCAACGGAAATCAGGACTTCTGGGATATACGACAAAGAGATAGTGCCCACACTACCCAAAAAACGGATCCAGAAACGTGAAGGCTTAAAAGCCTTGAACGTATCAAAAGTAGGCAGTAAAGCTCATGGTTCGGTTTTAACCGGGAATGAAGTGGCTCACAACATTTCTAAAAACTTGACCAGAAAAATGTCACAGAAAAAGCGTCCAGAGAAGTCAGAAAAACCAAATAGGGATAAAGAAATTTTTACGGGTTCTAGAAGAACCGGAAACTCACGCAACAACTTCCAAAAGAAATTCGGCTCGTTCGCTACTTTTATGAAATTTTGGAAACACGCACACGCTGTCGATAGGCATAAGCGCCATAATGGTCCAATAATGGTTGTGAAAAAGCGTTCAAAAGCCAATTCAAAGCCAACAAACGTAATGTACTTTAAAAATTATTACGAAAAGGGTCTTCCCCAACGAAACAAAAATTTGAATACCACCAAAAGCAATAAAGAAATTAAAATGCCTTCGAAATCGGATAAAGATTGCCCCAATAAGAAAGCCGGTGCTAAGGAAACCATACAAACCCCCAATAAATTAGATCAGAAACCCAAATCAGATCCAGAAACATTGCATGTTTCAAAACACAAAAGCGATATATATGACACCCTTGAGCAACTGATCAACGAAATCGATGACACCGCCTTTAATGAGAACTTGACTGAACCGATTGAGCCCAAGAAAACTAAGGAAGACAGTGAAACACCAAAACTGTTAAATAATACTCCTAAAAAGAAGCCAACAGATTTCAAAACGGCACTAAGGGTTTTTAAACCCGAAGAGAAGGTTATCCCAAAATCAAATGATAAGCCGAGCTCGAATTTCGAACCCAATCCTGTTTCCAAGTCGGATAAATCCAAATTAAATAAACCGAAAGCTGAAAAATTCATTCCTTTGAGGGTTTTCAATGGCCCAAAGGAAGATGAAGATAAATCTTGGATATATTGGGATGAGTTAGCACTGAAAAGTCTCCGAAAACCAACTGAAAATACAAAGACTAGCACTTTAAAACCAAAAAGCGGTAATGATTTAAAGTCCACAGAAACCACTCCTCAGCCTCTGAAAGACAAGAAAAAAGATGGGCAACCTCTCGATCCCTCGAAATGAAACTGACCTATCGAATCTCAGCATGTCTTGCCAGAAGTGGTTCACAACTAATTTGGGCTGAACTCAGAAGTTTCTCCGCCTTTGGTTCGAAGGGTTCCTAAGCACAAAATTCAAAATTTAACAGGTATTTCGGTAGACTCTTGTAGAACATGAACCAATGTCGGCTGAGGAGCCTGGTGCGGATCAGGAGGAGCCTGGCACTGGGTCTGCGAGGAACTGACCACCGCCTCCTCGCCCGTCAAGCTCTCCGTACCATTCAAACGACCGGACAGGGGCGTGGTGTCCACGATCTGGACTCCTTCGCCAATGGATGCAGTGCCGCCTACATCGAAGGTCTCTATAAGAAGTGGAAGCGCAATCCCAAGTCCGTGGATGAGGTGAGCCGTATAAGGACTTTCTTTTTATCTGTCTTCGTATCGTAAACTTAATTTATTTAATTGAATTAATTGAATCTGCCCAGTCCTGGAACGAGCTATTTAGCGGCAACGATCGGACCACCACCAATAGGCGCCCTCTTCCGGCATCGCACTCCCGGAAGAACAGACGTCCTCCGGTTGAAAGGACAGTGGTGAAGGCTCGTTCGGGCGAGAGGACGGCTTCTGGCGGCGCATCTGCAGCTCCAGCCGCACCTCCCAGCGACTGGAAGAACATTGATGACCACCACGTGATCCAGGCCATCATCCGAGCCTATCAATCGCGCGGCCATTTGGCCGCCGATCTGGATCCCTTGGGTATTGTTGGTCCGAAAAAGCATACGTCTGTGGATGGCACTCAGCGGCATGCCGCCAGGGAAGTGCTTCGGCAGCACTACTCCTACATATTTAGTAAGCTGAGTGTCATGGCTAGTGGATATATATTTACACCTTTATCGCAGGTGATCTCAATACCATGTTCAAGTTGCCCTCATCCACAATGATAGGCGGTGATGAGGAGTTTCTCACACTAAAGTTAGTTTCCAATAGATCCAATCCATCTTGAAAATAATACGTAACTTTTCCACCAGAGAGATCCTGGATCGCTTGGAGCGCATCTACTGCGGCCACATTGGAGTGGAATACATGCAGATCACGTCGTTGACAAAGACCAACTGGATACGCGACCGTTTCGAGAAGCCTGGTGGCTTTGACCTGACCAAGGCGGAAAAGAAGCTCCTGCTTGAGCGTCTCACTCGCTCGACGGGATTCGAAAACTTCCTGGCGAAGAAGTTTTCATCGGAGAAGCGTTTCGGACTGGAGGGCTGCGACATCATGATACCCACTATAAAGGAGGTGGTGGACCGGGCTACGGATCAGGGCGTGGAGTCAATTTTAATAGGAATGGCACATCGTGGGCGTCTCAATGTCCTGGCCAACATCTGTCGCAAGCCCATTTCAGACATCCTGTCTCAGTTCCACGGCCTAAAGGCCACCGACTCCGGTTCCGGGGACGTTAAGTACCATCTGGGGATGTTCCAAGAGCGGCTCAACCGACAAACAAACCGTATGGTGCGCATCACCGTTGTGGCGAATCCCTCTCACTTGGAGCACGTCAACCCGGTGCTCCTAGGTAAGGCCCGGGCGGAGATGTTCCAGCGCGGAGACACGTCTGGCAGCAAGGTGATGCCCATCATCATCCACGGAGATGCATCCTTCTCCGGCCAGGGCGTTGTCTACGAATCGATGCACCTATCCGACCTGCCCCGCTATACCACCTACGGCACCATTCACATCGTCACCAACAACCAGGTGGGATTCACGACAGATCCGCGCTTCTCCCGCTCCTCGCGCTATTGCACCGACGTTGCCAGGGTGGTGGATGCTCCGATACTGCACGTGAACGCCGACGATCCGGAGGCTTGCATCCAGTGTGCTCGCATTGTCGCCGACTACCGGACAAGGTTCAAGAAGGACGTGGTCATTGACCTAGTTGGCTACCGCCGCAACGGGCACAATGAGGCGGATGAACCCATGTTCACCCAGCCCCTGATGTACCAGCGCATACGGAAACTAAAGCCATGTCTCCAGCTGTACGCGGAAAAGTTGATCAAGGAGGGAGTCGTCACGGACAGCGAATTCAAGGCAATGGTGGCCGAATACGAAAAGATCTGCGAGGATGCTTGGACCGAGTCCAAGGCCGTCAAAACCATTAAGGTGAGTAGATTTGCTTTGGCGATTAGCCCCATCTAACTGGCCATCCTCCTCAGTACTCCTCCTGGATCGACTCTCCCTGGCCAGGATTCTTCGAGGGCCGCGACCGACTGAAACTGTGCCCCACTGGCATCAGCATAGAGACCCTGAAGACGATTGGCAACATGTTCTCGAGTCCTCCGCCGTCGGAGCACAAGTTTGAGACGCACAAGTGAGTACAGAATAGCAATGATTATGTCGTGGGTTATGTTCCTTACCATCCTGTCCAGGGGCATCCTTCGCATACTGGCCCAGCGCACGCAGATGGTGCAGGATAAAGTGGCGGACTGGTCGCTGGGCGAGGCGTTCGCCTTCGGCTCGCTCCTTAAGGAGGGCATCCATGTTCGACTATCCGGTCAGGATGTGGAGCGCGGTACCTTCTCGCACCGGCACCACGTCCTGCACCACCAGACGGAAGACAAGGTGGTGTACAACTCACTGGATCACCTCTATCCCGACCAGGCGCCCTACTCCGTTTGCAACAGCTCCCTCTCGGAGTGTGCGGTCCTCGGATTCGAGCACGGCTACTCCATGGCCAGTCCCCATGCCCTGGTCATGTGGGAGGGCCAGTTTGGGGACTTCTGCAACACGGCGCAGTGCATCATCGACACGTTCATAGCCAGTGGCGAGACCAAGTGGGTGCGCCAGTCCGGAGTCGTCTTGTTGTTGCCACACAGCATGGAGGGCATGGGCCCGGAGCACTCTTCCGGCCGCATAGAGCGCTTCTTGCAGATGAGCGACGACGATCCGGACGTGTATCCAGACACCTGTGACGCCGACTTTGTGGCTCGCCAGTTGATGAATGTTAACTGGATTGTGACGAACCTCTCCACACCCGCGAATCTGTTCCACTGCCTGCGCCGACAGGTGAAGATGGGCTTCCGTAAACCACTGATTAACTTCTCGCCCAAATCACTGCTGCGCCATCCGCTGGCACGAAGTCCCTTCAAGGATTTCAACGAGTGCAGTAGCTTCCAGCGCCTAATCCCCGACAAAGGACCCGCCGGCAAGCAGCCCGAGTGCGTCAAGAAGCTGGTCTTCTGCACGGGAAAGGTCTACTACGATCTCTTCAAGGAGCGCGACGATCACGAGCAGGTGGAGACGGTGGCCCTGGTGAGGGTGGAACAGGTGAGACGGCTGCTCCTACACCGCCTCTTGTACATGATAATGATTCCGCAAATCCTCCAGATCTGTCCCTTCCCCTACGACCTGATCAGCCAGCAGCTGGAGCTGTATCCCACGGCGGAGTTGCTGTGGGTCCAGGAGGAGCACAAGAACATGGGCGCCTGGTCCTACGTGCAGCCACGTTTCGACACGGCGCTCCTCAAGAACGAAAACGAATCGTAAGTCCCAGATAGTACCCCATCTCCCAAATGCCAAGGTGCAATGCCAGGCCTTGGGCTACTCCCCTTTGGGTGATGCAATTCAGGTGCGATTAGCGTTGACGCACCTTCAGAGTGGCAATCGGTGTTGGTGACGCCTCCTCCTCGGTCACCTCTCGCACTGCTCGACACCACAGATTCCGAGGTGGCAAGATGGCGACGGGCTGCGTCATGGTGATGGCGATTAGCGATGGTGACACCCGAGCCAAAAGCATGCCAACCGCATAGGTTTTCGCTTAGCTACCCAGTGTTTGTCGAGCAGGAAGGGGTATACCTATTTGAGTAGACTAGATGAAGAAATCTATCCAAAGATCCCAAACTGGGAAACACTCACTTACATTTTACTCTTTACTTGTTTCAAGTAACGTAAGTTAGTGCACGTGGTACTTAGTCAAAGTGCTAGGCACTAATCATTGTCACTAGTTGAGTGTTGATTCTCTTTTGTAATCAAACGTGTGCCAAGGTTCTTCGGCCCCAAAGATATTTAGAAACTTGCAGACCGCTTCTGTAAACTCTGCCAAATAGATACAAAGCTGTTTAGTTTTGGGTGGTGTAACGCACTTGGCCTCGCCAGAGTTCAGCTGGCGCCCCGAAAGTTCGTTTCCCTGGTGAGGTGATTCTCTGACCCGATTGTTATAATAAATTAGGGCTAGTAAGCTAGTGAAATATGCGGCTGTGTTGCTCTGAGACGATTAATTGCGGTCGGCCGAAGGCTCCAATAATTTGTTCAATTTGGCAACTGCGTTGTTAGTAATTGGCCCGGTCCGAACGACCTCGTTGCAGATCGCGGACAGCCATGTCGATGTTGGACATCGCATTGTGCTCGCAGAGAACTGGCGCAAGGAACTTGGCACAGATTCGCGGCGTTTGATACCGAAGCACGTCCCCGCATTCCCGCATCCACGGTTACCCATTTGCCTTATAGACGGGTTCTGCGGCGAGATATTGTATCTCTCCACCGAAAACTTATTCGCATGCGGACCCAACAATGGTCCTAATATCGCCAGTGCTGCGCTAGATTTGTGCGCTGATTTATGGAAAACAATATTGCCGCCCCGACCACGAAGAATATTTCTGGGGGAAATTCAAAATAATATTATGTACGAAAGAGATATATGATTTCATGTGTAACCGCCCGCGAGGACGACCCTTCTCTGCACTTGAAATCTTTGATGTCGGTGCTGCGGATGTTTCGGTCTTCATAAGTGTTCCCAACTATCGCTCAACTCGAAATTCCGAACATATAGAATGAAATGTGCTTTGTTTTTCAATTGCTTCGTGCAAATACTCGTGTGTAGGTGCACTGGAAACAATAAGTTGACTCTATATATCTATCTATGCAGATCTAAGCAAACTCTTCTCTGGTTGAATCCTCTCTGCCATATATACCCCTTCCTTAAATTGATTTATGATAATTACCCGATTTCTGATTGGGAGAAGTCAAGAAGTACATCCTTTGTTCGCCTTTCGCGTAATTTATTCGACAGACCCGCGACAACAGACATGGTATGTGAATTCTTCCGGTGTACTCGTTACCAGACACACATAATGTCTTGATCGCACATACAGCACTCGGTTGCCAGCCCCGAGAATTGAATGAAAATCCCGCCAGAGGCCTTAGGAATGTAGCATATTCGCAGGTCCGCCTCTACTATATGATGGCATGCCTCATTCCCATTCCCATTCCGATTCCCTTCCGATTCCCCGAGCGATATGTTCGTCTATGTTTATGGGTGGCATGTGCGATGTGTTTTCCGAGTTTCTTTGTTGTTATTGTCAGCGCGAATTAAAATCTCAGATAATTGCGAGAGATTCTCGCTAAGAATTCCCATAGCGCCGAGCCAAACGCCTTGACAATCAATTATGAGAAACGTCCGATGATCTTGGACGGAATGTTTTTGTTTCGTTCATCATATGTATATCCGAGTCTCTAATGCAGGCCACTGCACGCCAAATCCCGCCAAAGTTTTATTAATGGCACGCATTTCTCAGCGAATAATTTGGGGTATACTTGGACATTGATGGAGTGGGTGGCATTTAATGGCGACTGCTGATTGAGCTGTTTGCCTGACCCTGGAGGGTCCCACTATTCATTCATCGGATTGGTCAGATCGGCCAGATCGGACAGATAGGCTTTATAAATAAACCGGACAACGAGCAGAATCGAGAATCGCGGGAAGCATCAATCGCCGACTGCCAAGCATCGGAGTAAACAGATCCATAAAAGTTTTATGAGTAATTGGCTTTGGAGCGGCCCAAAATAGAAACACCGCGCATAACTGAAATATTCTCCGCTTTATTTATCAGTAAATAGTTTGTTTATAATTACACATACAGATTATACTTAGATGTAAACGAAGGCCTGGAATAAGTTACACTAAACACTAGGATATAAGACTAGGCTACTGCTCTACGTAGATATGTACATGTAGTCTATATGAGGACGAATCACTATAACGTAACTGAATGTCGAGTTGAGATCCTTAAAAAATGACCTCGCATGGCGGACAATTTTTTAATTCCACTCAAAGATGGCTGGACACTGGGCACTGGGCACTGGGCACTGGACACCACTGGGTGGGATTCGGTGGATTCGGTGGTCTGCTGGTGCCTACACCATGTTCCATATGCTGTAGCTGGCCGCCCGGCGCTCCTCCTCGGCCACCTGCTCGTAGTCGATCTCCAGGTACTCCTTGGTGCCGAACCGCACCTTCCGCCCGGTGTACTTCTTGATGTAGCTGACGTGGGCGGGCACCTCCTTCCCCTCGATCTCCAGCTTGTACGAGATGCTGGTGATCCGCTCGAGCACTCGGCCGCGCTTCCAGCGCACCTGCGTCTTGCGGTAGCGCTCCGCGTAGAGCACCAGGTCACCGATCTTGTACTCCCTTACATGCAGGCAGGATTTGAGTTCTTTGACGGGCTCGGGCTCGGGTTCCTCCGCTGGCGCCTTGGCGTCCTCCTCGTCATCCGTCACGTAGGCTATGGCCCGCTCGATGGTCTCCACCTCCGGGATGGCGGGCTCCTCGGGCTCCGGCTGCAGGAAGAATGTGTCGCCGACGGAGAGGCGGCGTTTCTGTCGCTTGATGATCACCTTCTTTTTGATCTTGCGCGGCTTCTTGGGCTCCGGCGCAGGCTCGACTTCAGGTTCCGGTTCGACCTCCTCAAGAACTTGGGTTTCGGCAGTTGTGTTCTCCACGGGACCTGCTTCTTCAGGCTTCGGGCTATCCTCGTCTGCAATCGGTGCCTTTTTCGCCTCCTCCTTTGGTTTCGCTTGCTTCTTGGGCGGCGTGAGCTTGTTGATCCTGGAGGACAGCTCGTTGATCTTGTTCCTGTCGCGCAGTATGTTGCTCAGCTTACTGGGGTCATGCTTCTCCTGCTTTTCGGGCTCCTTGTCAATGGAATTCTTGCGCACCAGCTTCTTTAGGTGCAGTGGCTTCTTCTTCACGAGCGGCTCCTGACTCTTGGCCACATCGTGGGGCTGCTCGACCGTCTCGATCTTGACGGGCTGCACCGGTCCGGCGAGTACTTTCAGCTCCGGCATGGTGGCTAGACTGTCGCCGGGAGGCGGCTGCTCTCCGGCTTTTGTAGCTTCGGCGGACGACTGTGCCTGCTGCTCTGGCGATGACTCTTCGTGCCTCAATGTCGCTGCTATTTGCGGCGCAATGTCAGCGCCGATGGCCACCTGTTGCGGCGTCGCTGGCACCAGCGCCTCCTGACCGATGGGTTCCTTGGACTCGGGCAATGGATCTTGTGGGGCTGCGGTCGCTGCCGGCACCACCAGCACCGTTTCACCCACCAACTCCGCTAGTTTCAGGCTGGCGCGTCTGGTTCGATCGCCTGCTGGCGCTAGATTGCCAATCGCCGGATCGGCATCGATCTCTGATTTGGCCGCTGGTGTTGCAGTTGTCGCCGGTGTTGCTGCTGCAACTACAACTGTTGCAGCAGTCGCCGCTGTTCCCTGGCCGCTCTTGGCACTGGGCAACTTGGCTGGCACCGCGGTGACCTCTGGCGTAGCCAATTGTTCGCTGGTGGCAGTCTCCTTCTCCTCGGCTATCGACGCCGTTTCCCTCGAGTTAGCAATGCTATCTTTTGTTGTCGATGATGCCGCTCTTGGGGATGTGGACGTGGATGTCGATGTGCATGGGGCAGGCGTGTCGCCCATTAATTTCTGCTTCTTCTTGCGCTTGACAATCGCCTCCGAGTCGGAGGGTCGCCGCTGAGTGATGAGAACATCGCTCTGCTCGACGGCCGGCTCCACCTTGATCTTGGATGGTTCCACGGCCGCGATCGAGGCTCGTCTGGGGTTCTTCACCTTCACGGTGACTTTCTTCTTGGTCTTGGACGGTGGTGGCGATGTGGCTGACTCATCCGACAGTGCCACTTCAACTGCTTCAGATGGCTTGACTTGCGACTCATCTTTCGCTTTGTTTACATCTGTGATTTCTTTGGATTCTGATTCCTTGGGAGTCGCTCCTTTGTGGCTGTCTCTTTTTGGAGAGACCCCTTTAAGGGTTTCTTCCTTGGTAGCTTGCTCCTTGGAGCCAACATCCTTGGCAGGTTTTGACTTGAGTTCGCTCTGCACCTTGGCCAGAAACTCAATTTTGGCCTGGGTTTTGCTCTTCTCGGGTTGCTTGACTTGTTCTGCTGTCTTCGCTGGTTCTCCGTTTATTTTTGGTGGTTCTTCTCTTACCACTTTTGGAAGATCTTCCTCAGGTTGCACTTCTTGTGGTTCAACATCTTTCTTTATTTGTTTAGCTTCCACATTATCACGATCCTTTGGCAACTTTCTATCTTGGTTTTCCAACTCTTTCGATTCTTGACTCTCATTTGTTTCTTCTTTTTTACTAACTCCGATCTGCTCGCTAATATCGTTTTCATTAGTTTTTATTCCTTGGCTTGCACGGAGCTGCTGCTTTCCATTTGCTTGGGCTTCCCGTTCTGCTGAATCCTCCAAGAGCTCCCTAGCAAAGGGTGTCTGTTCTCTGTGCACCTTAGTTTCCTCATTGGTGGAATCCACCTTTTTTTCTCGATTAACTTTATCCTTGGAGGCATCTACCAGTGCCTCCCCAGCTTGCTCTTTTTCCTCCTCGGCCTCATCGAAGTAGCTGCGTCGCCGCACTTTCTTCACAAAGCGAAAGGACACTGGAGCAGGTTGATCTCCACCTGGTGTCGACTGGGCTTGCTCCGCCGCAGATTCCGCCTCGCTCTCCGTGCTGTACTGCTTGAGCACTCCTTTCACCTCGCTGAGGGCACCGGAGATCCTGGCCTTGAGCTTGTTCAGTCGCTCGATCACATCCTCGGGTTTCTCCTCCACGGATTCCTGCGAGCGAACGCGTCTCTGGCGCCGCAGACGTGTCCTTTCGGGTAGCACAGAATCCACATCGATGGATGTGGATGTGCTGTCGCGGCTGATGGAGGTGCGCTTTATGTCGCCCAGCAGCGGAGCATGGGTAGCGGGAGCACTCGGCTCCACATTGCGTGTACGACTCGTGGCACCCAGTCTGGTGACTGGCGACTCTGGACGCGGACTCCTGCTGGGCAGTGCTGAACTGGCTGTCTTCATCTCGTACTTCATCTCGCTGGGCTGCAGTTCTATGGCGCTAGTATTGTTGTTGTCATCCGCCTGTTCCGTTGGCTGATCCAGTTGCTCGGCGGGATAAGCCTCGACCGTTTCTGTCTCCCGCTCCTCGCTGACTTTGCTCACGGTCATGTCCGCTCCGGCGGCCGCCTCGCTCCAAAGGTTACCCGTCTCCGGATGGCCACAGATCAGTTCGATGGCTTCGGTCAAAAGGTCGAGCAGCTCCCAGTCCCAGTCCCAATCCCAGTTCCTCTCGGCGAGGAAGGCGCGCACGGAGCTTTTTAGTAATTCTATATTTGGCAGAGTTCGATTCGCGTTCGGATTTGGATTCGGATTCGGATTTGGGTTCCGTTCGCGGGTCAGTAGCCGACCGAGATCCACGTCCACTTGCTCTGGCGACGATTCGCGGGCGTCTGAGAGATCGCCGGACTGCTGGTGGTTGCTATTCCGATTTAGATTCTGATTTTGGTGCTGCTGCTGCTGGCGATGGTGATGGTGATGCTGTTGCCCATTCCCATCTATTGTCTGCTCCCTGGCCAAACATATTGACTGCTGCTCGCGATCTCTCATATTTGGCTCATTATGATCTTCGGCCTTCTCTAATTTGCTTTGCTCGCATATTTCGCGTTTATTTTTGGCCCCATCCATGGCGTCGTCGTTTTTGTGGTCGTGTCGCCGCTGGCCGAAGGCGTCATTAAGATTTTCCGCCTGTTGATGCTCGATTTCCCTTGCCACGTTCAAGTTTAATGCGAATGCTTCTGTCGCCGCCGTCTGCTCCTCGTCCTCGGGTTCATTATCAAGCATCGGCGGCACCTTATGTACACCGGCTCCTCCTCCTCCTCCGCCATCTATTTCGTCTATTTTGTCTATTTCGGTGACTTTTTCGAGGCCCGGCTGCGTCATTGTTGTTGTGGCGGCGGTGGGTGGATGTGGGCATTCGGGCCCATCTTGAGGCATTGCTCGATAATTGGGAAAGCTAACAAATCGTTTTTTAATTATGGGAAATTCCTGGGGCGCCTGCTCAGCGTGTGAGCTGGCCACCTGTCCGCGTCGGGTCATGGTGGTGCTCATTTCTGGGAAATGGCCGTCAGAATTCTTGCGGGGCAATTGCAGCAGTCTGGGAAAGTTCATCTGCCACGGCGCGTATACTTGATTTATGGGGAACCTCGCTGTGCACGGTGCGTATACTTGATATGGACGGAATAGTTGAGATTCGCTTAAAATTGAGTGGTTCTCTGCTTCTCTCTGGCTCTTGAGAGCTACATCCCATATATACAAGGGAAATCCTTGGTGGACACTTGAATTCAGATGCAAGGGAAACTTTCCTGCTTGTATGGGTTGGTAGTAAGGCTGGCAGACTCCCATGTTCCTGCTTCCACACGAGTGATTCATGGGGAAGCTGCTCTGCCAAGTGATTCCTTGGCCAACCGGAAATTGGCCTGCCATTCCGAGCACTTCCGGCGCCGCTTTTGACCAACAAAACACGGCTGACTCAGCGCCCTGATTTGCGATGCCATCAACAAGCCACTGCGAATTATGAATATTATTATTAGCTGCTGCCTGCGACATTAATGTTGTCCGCTCCTCCGCCACCGCCTCCCCCGATTCCGCCTGCTGCGTGTTTGTCATCTTATGCACGTGGCCGTGGAACTTGTTCTCCTGCTGACCTATTGTCGTGGCCAACACGCGTCCAAAGCGGGCTTATTCCTCCGATCACTATCAACTATGCTTCACTCAACACGTTGCAAGCGAAACTGGCGCAATCCGTCGGCGGCTACACCGTGATCCGTCTATCTCAATCCGTTCCCAGTGGCTGCGCCTCGCTGGCAACCATCCGATCATTGATCAGTCTGCAATCTATGTAATCGTGCGGCGTCTGATGAGGAGAATTAATAAGTCTCGAATTGACAATGCCCTGCAGATGGGTATTTACACACAGTCGTCACCAAAATAAAGCTCAAAACATTTCTATCTATAAGATAAAAGCAAGCTATTTGTTTCTCAAGAAAAATTAACAGTGTTTATGATTTGCCAAAGAAAAATATATTTATAATAATGTTCTATCAGCCAACGTAAACATAATTTTATCATCTTCCCAGTGCTAAAATATATGCTATTCGTTTATTTAAAAAATCTTCCCACTCGGCAAATAATGAATGTTTGGATAGGTCTAGATATATTTCTAATAACTACTTCTGCTAGTTCTATCCTAGCCAACTAAAGCAACTGTACATGGTTCCTCCTTTGTATGTATCCTACGTTCCTGTGGGTCTTCTCGTGAATTAAGTACAGGGCATATCAATGTTGATAGATCTTGTAAAACAATAGAAATCAAAGTTTGGTCAGGTGAGGTTGCGCATGTTTCGGATGCTGGGCAGACCGAGGAGCGCTCTTGTAGTCGTCTATTTGCACATAGGGTCCACCATATAGCCTAAATATATGTCAGCTTGCCAAATTGCTTTTTTGCGGGCCACAAAAAGAACGATAGACAAAGAGACCGAATAAAAATCAGCTCGCGTCGCCCACCGACAATGCTATTGTTTAAATAGACCACTGAGCACGGCGCTATTTGGGTGACGTGAGAAAATACTGGGTGTCCATTAAGAAGTCTAATCCCATTCTGTGTTTCTCGCAGCCGCTGCGTTTCCTATCACGGACGACCGCCCAGCTCCTCGCCAGCGACGGGCAACAAGGTGCAGCACTACACCGAGTACAAGGCCCTGATCAACAGCGTCTTTGGAGAGCTGACCCCGGAGAACAAAAAGCGTCTCGAGGATCAGGTCAAAAAGCAGCAAGCTAAGGCCAAGGCGGACGCGCAATCGAAGCCCAGTACGAAGCCACCATCCTCTCCACCGAAAGGCGGTTCGCCGCCACCAGGTAAATCTGGCGGAAAACAGAGATCCGATTCGTCTCCATCTGCGTCTATAGCTCCTACAGGTCCAGCACCCCGTAAGCCATTGATTAGTATGCCAAGTAGACCTCCAAGGGGAGGATCTTCAGGAAAGCAGAGGACCGGATCGGCTCCAGCTCCTGATCTGGTTGATGAAGCTTCAGCTGCTCGAAATAGCGAACCGGATTCTCCCGCACACGACGGCGCGTCACCGTCAGCCTGGAAGAGGTCGGGGTCGGCTCCAGCACCGAGCTTAGCTCCCAGGGCATCAGCCTCTCGGAGTCCAGCACCTGCTCACGACGGTGTCTCACCATTCACTAGGGAAGAATCCTCACGCAAGAAGAGGTCAGGCTCGGCGCCAGCTCCGACGCAATCTCCTAGTGGACCATTAAGGACTGCGCCCTCAAAGCCAGTTTTCATAAAGCGCAGACCTGAAAAAGAATCGCAAAGAAATCCCGAAGAGTCGAAGCTGGACCCAACAAAACCAGAACGCTAGTTTAAATTCTTTGCATTAGCCTTAATAAGTCCACCAAAAAAGACAGGTAAAAGGTACAGAAAGAATATAAATATAAAACTTTACTTGTAATATCAACAACTTTTGGAGGCGACGCCTCCATTGTCTTGGGCTCAGTACTTCCAAAAGTTTGGGTTCTGTTCCATGCGACGCTGGAAATTCGTATACCAGTTTTGGACGACGGAGAATGGTACGAAGGTCTCGCTCGAGATGGGCGGTATGTCTCTTGCTGCGACTCCAAAGCTGGAGGCGTAGTTGAAGAAGTTCTCCAGCATTCGCTGCCCAAATTGTTTGTTGTCGTCGGCAGTGGACTGAAAATGGGAGATTTGTACAACTAATCATTGGTAAAATAAAATTAGTTGGGGTATAGAAGGGAAGATATAAGATATCAGATTAGATATCCCGATTAGATTTTCCCATACCCAACTGCTTAGCTTGAGAACTTACCACGGCTGGCGTCTGCTGGGCCACCGTTAGCTCGGGTTCGATTGAAACTCCAATCTGTGCGATGTGTGAGATCTCCTGACTGCCGAAGACCATCCCGTGGGCATGGGCCTCCAGCTCGTGGCTCTTTTTCAGCTGGGCGATCTTGAAGATGGCGGAGGGCTTGTTGTTGTTTATGTGACCCAGGTACTGCCATGTGGGTGCTGCATTCGCGTCCGGCCAGCTGAAGTATATCGCAGCGGAGGTGCCAACGGGCAGGGGCGATACGCCGGTGAGAAATACTACCAAGTAGTTGACGGATTCGATGTCGGGCACATTCACAAGCAGCTTGGAGGCGTCCACGGGCTCGAAATCCGATTGAGGCAGGCGTCCAGAGACTATCAGACCGAATAGCGACATCTTCGAGCGGTGGACTATTCCAGAATTCAGATATGCGGGCTTCTTGAGGGAGGAGATAAATGGAGATGCGCAAAATGAACTAGCTCATGATTTGGTTTGATTGCGACTTGATTTTGTGCGGTGTACGGACAGAGCCAACTACGTATCTGAGTGAATATATTTGGGAATATTATTATTTGTGGGTTTCATGTTTTCAAACATAAATCTTAAATCAAATAAGTATATTTAAGTATATTTTATTTCAAATGGAACTGGTTCAGCCGATTCATTCCTGACGTGCCATTCACAGCGAAACGGCAACTCCAAACAGCTGACCCTGCCATGCGAATGCTGATATCGTAGCAAAAACACAGGGACGGTGCAAAAGAAGAGGGATTTTATTTTGTTTTCGGCTGTCAATTGAGTAATGGCCGGACTCCTTCACCTGACCAAACAGTGCAGCATCCACTTACCCGCCCACTTGGGACGCGCGAAATGCTACTCACTCGCTAAGGGACCGGTAACCCACGTGCAGGCAAGAGTGGTGAGTGCTCCGCTACTAGACCCATTTCAAGGCCACCTGCTAGACTATCTAGAGAGATTACGATTTCGTAATTAGGCGCAAAATACGCAATGAATTGGCGGTTTGATTGAGTGGGGATTACCAGCAAACGGCGGGGAAAACAGTCTGCGTGTGCGTTGTTTTGGTCCTTATCCTCTTCCATCCGATCAATCCTGAATTAATGCACCACGCTCTGGCTTATTTCGTTGCAGCAAGCATAGAGTTAGACCAAAACAGCGCGCACACAGACTTGGAGGATCGATCAGGGATTGGGGACAATGGGTCGAACGCAGCGTCGCCGGCATCAGAGGGCCAATAAGTCTGAAGAGGATTCGGGCTCCCTGCACGATCTCTACGTTCATCTGCACTCCGTTGGCTGGCAGAACCACACTCACTTGTCGGCCCAAAACTACGAACAGACAGGTCGAGGACTGTGCTCTAAACAGGACACTTTTTCCCCGGAGGATGAACTTATTCGCCTACCCGTTGGCTGTCTCATAAGCATAGCGACTCTGGAGTCGGATGCGCCATTCAAAAGTCTCTTCAACAAGGAGATATTCGACAAGGATTCCAGAATTTCCTTTCAGGCACTGGTCGCCTGTTATGTTTTGTACCACAAGCACCTGCAGAAGTGCTCGCTAGGTACTCGCTCCTCCCCTTACTCTGCATACTTGGACACCCTGCCCAGAGGCTACACCACTCCGTATTTCTGCTCCATACCCGAGCTACAGTGTCTGCCAGAATCACTCCTAGAGCGAACTGTGGCCCAGAACCGCCAAATAAGGGGTTACTTTGAAATAATTAAGAACCTGGTGCTCAACTGCGATTGCTGTGCGAAAAGCTACGGACAGGAGATTTGGACACTCGCCGATTTCAAGTGGGCCTACTTCACCGTGAACACCAGAAGCGTGCATCTCAGTTCCCGCTTTCTAAAAAAGCAGAGCAACTACTTTCAGCCGCTTATCAGTGGCGACACCAACATGGCATTGGCTCCGTTCCTGGACCTATTCAACCACTCAGATAGTGTGCAAATCACTGCGGAGATTGAGGGTCCTGACTACGTCCTAACATTAAAATCTCTGCCATTTTCCAAGACCAAACCATATGATCAATTGTTTATCAGCTACGGTGCTTTGTCCAACTTTAAGCTATTGACGGAATATGGCTTTTGGCTACAAGAAAATAAGCACGATTACTTTGAAGTATCCCTGCTGGACATTGAGCACATGATCAAGCACAACAAGGAGCTATCCACTCAAACCTTTCACCGCAACATCTTTAAATTCATCAGGGAGCACAATCTGAACGACCAGATGTTCGTGCACATCGACGATGGATGCTCTCACAACCTGAGGGTGGTGCTGCACCTGATCTTCAAGCAGCAGGCCTACTTTCCCAACATCCTCAACCAGATTGCCTTTGGAGATGCCGAGCAGTTCCATGATGTGCAGCCAGAGCTGTCATACCTCGTGGCCTATAAAATAAAGGAATACGAGGTCTTTGGTGGAGAGCTAGATAAGCTTCCCAAGCTGACGGAAAGTGGTTCAGTGGCACGGGCGTACCTTCAGGAGTGTATCCGCTACCTCGTTGACTTTCAATTGTTGCATTTAGCTGAATAGCAGCTATGTAGGTTGAGCTTAGAATTTACAACAAAGCATTTTGTTTTTGACGGATTGTTTTAATAGGAATAGGAATCTTGAAATAAATAATAGTAACTATTGAAGAAGAACTACTTAAGTGTATATTCTATGAGGCATTTACATTTTTATAATAAACCACAGAAAACTATACTTTATTTTGCAATCCAAACCTTTCAGCTGTACTCTTCGCTGACAAAGGTTGATGACCAGAACAGCAGCGATGTCAAGCGAAAGAAGATAACCCCGTTTACGCCCACGCCGGGCAGCAAGCTTCTGGGTGGAGTATTCGGCAAGAAGGCAAAAGGTAGGTGCCGCGTGGCAACTTCAGTTACCCAGTAACTAACCAATGCCTGACCACCATAGTTCGTAAAGCACGCCTGCAGATTCGCAGGCTTTTTATTTAGTACTAGCCTCTCATGCTTTTTTCTATCGACTAACACAAAATCGATTTTGTTTTGTGGACCGAGTACGTGCGTCCGTTTGTTTGTTTGTTTGTTTGTGCGCTTGTTGTGTTGAGCGCCTGTCTGAATTTTGCTGCATCAAAGTGAATTCAATGCAGGTGGAGTCCCAGCAGCAGCAGCAGCAGCAAAAACAACAACGCTACAGCGGCAACGACCCTACCGCCCACAACAACAGCAATCACGACTATGTCATGTTCATATAGGGGGCGGCAGCGATGGTGGCTCGGGATTGGGCAAGCTGGACGCGCCGGAGGTCACCTCCAAGGATATGCTGCGTGCCATGATGGCCTACATCTGGCCCAAGGAGGATCCACTGGTGCGAAAGCGGTAAGTGCACCTGATTATGACTGAGAATACTTAAATATTTATTATGTTCCCAATTGTCAGAGTGGGTATTTCCCTGGGTCTATTGGCTGGCTCCAAGCTGCTGACCGTCTGTGTGCCCTTCTTGTTCAAAGGAGCTGTGGACACGATGACAACGCTGAACATGGACACTGCCCCGGATGCAGTCCTCTCCGCAGCCACCGCACTGATGTTGGGATGCAAGTTTATTAGCCTGAATTCCTTATCACTATAAATATTAACCGTCTAATTCCCGTAGATGGCATTGCTAGAGCAAGTGCGGCGGGCTTTAACGAGTTGCGGAATGCAGTGTTTGCAAAGGTGGCCCACCACTCGATACGAAAAATCGCCAGCAACGTGTTCCTGCATCTGCACAACCTGGATCTGGCCTTCCACCTGAACAAACAAACCGGAGCTCTGTCAAAGACCATCGACCGAGGATCGAGGGGCATTAACTTTGTGCTTTCCGCCATGGTGTTCAACATAGTGCCCACAATCTTTGAGCTGGCCCTCGTGTCCAGTATCCTGGGAGTGAAGTGTGGCCTGGCCTTCGCTGGTGTCAGCATGGGCTGCGTCGGCATATACGCTGCCTACACTCTGAGTGTGACCCAGTGGCGCACCCAGTTCCGCGTCTTCATGAACCAGGCGGAGAACGAGGCGGGCAACAAGGCCGTGGACTCGCTGATCAACTACGAGACGGTCAAGTACTTCAACAACGAAAAGTACGAGGCCGGCTGCTACAACGAGGTGCTGAAGAAGTATGAAGCGGCCAGCTTGAAGACCAGCTCCAGTTTGGCCCTGCTGAACTTTGGCCAGAACGCCATCTTTAGCAGCGCCCTTAGTCTGATCATGGTACTGGCCGCCAAGGAGATTGCCCAGGGCAACATGACGGTGGGAGATTTGGTGATGGTCAACGCCCTGCTCTTCCAGCTCTCGATCCCCCTCGGTTTTCTGGGCAGTGTTTATCGCGAGGTGCGTCAGGCTTTGCTCGACATGCAGGCCATGTTCACATTGATGAACGTGGACAGTAGCGTTCAGACGGCGGCCAATGCCCAGCCCCTGTTTGTGGACACCACGAACTCATCCATTGAGTTCCGCAACGTGAGCTTCGAGTACGAACCTGGTAAGCCCATTTTCCGGGACCTGTCTTTCACCATACCCGCCGGTAAAAACGTGGCCATCGTGGGCGGCTCTGGGTCAGGAAAATCGTCGATGGTGCGCCTTCTCTTCCGCTTCTTTGAGCCTAACTCTGGCAAAGTGTTGATCGGTGGCCAGGATATCAGCGCCGTAGACTTGGAGAGCCTGCGCAAGGTTATCGCCGTGGTGCCGCAGGATTCGGTGCTGTTCCACAACACCATCGAGCACAATATCCACTACGGCAACCTGGCCAAGTCACACACGGAGGTGCAGAACGCTGCCCGAATGGCAGATTTGCATGACTCCATCATGAGCTGGCCAGGACAGTACGCCACTCAGGTTGGCGAGCGAGGATTAAAGTTATCCGGCGGCGAGAAGCAGCGCGTTGCCATCGCTAGGGCCATACTGAAGAACACGCCCATTCTGATCTTCGACGAGGCTACAAGCAGTCTGGACTCGATCACAGAGCATGTGAGTGTTGGGATCGACTAAGTCAAATGTGTTAGCCATTATAAACTGACGCAATCGGATTTCTTCTCTTTGCAGAACATTCTGCAGGCTCTAACCCGCGCTACCTCAGGACGCACAAGCATTTGCATTGCCCACCGGCTCTCCACGGTCAAGGATGCGGACGAGATTCTGGTGCTCGAGAATGGACGTGTGGGTGAACGCGGCACCCACTCGGAGCTTCTGAGGCAGAATGGTCTGTATGCGCGCCTCTGGGAGACGCAGACGCAGCAGTTCGACCCGAGCCGGGTGATCAAGGAGGAGGCGGTAGCGTAGACGAGACTCCTGACCTATGTATGTGTCTGTTATAATGTTATAACCATCCCCTTCGTTTGGCCCTCCCTAGCGACTAAATTCACCGTAGAATCCTCCTGGCCCGGAGATTCGCTATTCATAGGTTTAAAGTATCATTTTGACGTTTGTAAATACAGCTGTAGATATGCGATAAGAGAAATTGGACGGGATGTGGTACAATATGGAACATTTATTATCAGTTGTATCACCCATACATTCGGTTATATCGCACTGTTCCGGTTTCCAAGGTTTCGGGATTCGATTGATTTTAACGTATTGTTATGTAAATGCAGAATGTGTAGATACTTCAAATCGGGTATTCTTTCTTCAATGTCTATTTTCATCTGATTTACAGGCAGTATAGGTTTTTAGGCTATTGACCAGATTTGAAATCGGATCTGAAAACTGTTAAAACCGGAACAGCGCCGATGGTTAGCCTGGTCTTTCAATCCCCCGCTTTTACTGCCTGCGGAATGGGCACATCGTAGAGCAAGTACATCAGGCAGTTGAAAATGTGGCCCAAAAACTGCTGGTAGTTGGTCACCCGGTGCTGGAACTCCTGCCACAGCGGCAGGATAGACCGCTCCTCCGTTTCAGGCCTTTCTATCGTGATGTCCTGCTCCAGCATCGTTTTGTTGGTGTATGTGAACAGGTACGACGCTGGCTTCTGGCCAATGGTGGTCACCAAGTGGGTGATGTTGCTCTCCAGACCGATGCTCTTGCCGGCTGTCAGGAAATAGGCCTCCGCATCCCGCTCGTTCCTGTACCGAACGTTTCCCTCAAGAATGGTCAGCGTGCAGTTGATGAGGTCCGGCGAGATGAAGTTGGTTAGGGTAAGTCCCGGGAAATCCGCCACAAAGATGACATCGGAGTAATTGTTCCAGGCCAGCACCTCAGTCTCAATGGTCCGCAACTTGGGCCGCATGTGGTTCAGCTCGTTCAGCAGTGGCAGCGACCAGGAGGTGCTCTCAAAGGGGGACCACTTGGCCCGGAGGAGATCCTCGCGTGGGTCAAAGGACCGTTGCTGGAAGCGACCATTCATTGAGCACCAGATGTCGAAGTAGATGGAAATGTTTTTTCCAATGTCTGACTGTCCCTCCCGGATATTCTCCTCGATGCACCTGGCATACTGCACCGCCATGTCGGCGTACTTCGTCCAGCGATCGTACTCCGTAAAGGCGTATGGATTCAGGTTGTGCACTTGGCGGCTCTCGTTGTCCACCACCTGGATGGAGGTCTGCAGCGTGTCGTAGGAGTGCACCATCATGTCCCAGGAGTAGCCGTACAGCCCATTCGTCCAGTTGTTATAGCCCTTGGTGATGAAGTGTGAGTAGGGCAGGAAGAGTTGCAGTCCACAGTATGCGAGGATGAGACCCGTGCGCACTCTCGCCAGGACTCCCGGCCTGGGAGGCTCTTTCTCTGGACCTTTTGAATGGACGAGCCGTTTCCTGGACCAGTTGCCGAGCCTCCTCGGCCAGTCGAAGCTGAAGAAGAGCGGCACTTCGGCCAGACAAACCCAGGGAAACATTCCTAATGGGTGAGCAAAGTTACATAAATATTGACTTGTAGACGGTGGAAACTTTGCTAAAGTTGTGATGGATGATATATACTTAGCAAACCACTTACCTATTACAAAAAGTCGGGAGTTCATTAGGTGAAAGCTGAGCATGAAAGGAGTGACCAATAGGCGCGTTTTCTCCAGTGTCATAAAAAAAGCAATGGACACGTCGAAGAAGGCGGTGAACCAGTGCACAATGAGTAGGTCTATCAGCTCCGGATCAATCACTTGCCGGAACGGCGCAAAGACCCAGTGGTGGCTCAGATTGGACATCGCGTATCCCGATAGCCACTCCAGTGAGAATTTCTTCAGGCCTGCGTACATGTACAGGACGAAGAACTGAAACTTGATTAGGAAGTAGTTCCAGTAGGGAATACATCGACTCTTTCGGGGACTCAGCCAGCTGTCCAGGGAGCTGAAAGTTGGAATTAGGTCGTTTATTTCGAAACAAGGTAACTCCAGGTATTCAGACCAGTAGGACTCCGCTTGGGTGAAGAGCAGCAATGTTCCGACCAAACCGAATAGATAGCTGTGGTTATTCCACGTCGGCTTGTCCAGCAGGAAGATGTACCAGTAGGGAATCAGGAATGCCAGGCAGCTGAACCTGAATCGATAGCCCAGCATGATGCCCCACGCCCCCAGCCACATGCACAAATAGACGCAGCCCATCAGCGGATAGGCCAATGCTCGCATCCCGTTGAACAGTGGAAAGTGGCAGTGGAGCGGGTCCTGAAACCGCACGTCCAGCTGGCCGCCACCCCGCTCCTCTGCGATGTCAATCAGCATGGCTGCTCCGTAGAGCAGGCGGAAGATGCCCAAGGCGGCTCCATCTACGGGCCTGTGTAGCCAGCTGGTAAAGTGGGCTAAGCTGATGAAGTTGCTCAGATCGTGACCTAGGCAATCCCTAAAGAATTGGTTTAGCAGAGAGGACTTCTGGGCACTTGTGTGATTTACATCCGGGACAGATTCATCCGACGACCTATCTTTGTGTGATGTTGGGTCATCTGTGGGTTTCGTAGGCAGCTTTCGCTTGGAGTTGGCCATTCTGGTGAATCTGTAAGAAGGCCGAAAGAAGACGTCCTTTGCAAGTATAGTAAACGTAATCTGTATAAATGGACGTATCTGCTGGCCAAAGATCATTACGCTCCGATTTGGTATTTAATTTTTGTAGAATTTATTGAAAAAGTTGACATAAATACATGCATGCATATTGTTGTATACTAAATATATAATATATGTGTTTTACATTTCGTTTGCTGACTCTTGCGTAAATATCTACGGTTCTGTTCGGATCGCTGGCGTGGAGCCCACGGAAAATATTGCTGTCGGATCGGTGTAAAAAAATAGATCAATTACGAAATGTACATCCATTATACTCGGTCAGTGAGTTATTATTGCAACGGATTTGCCCAGCTTCGTTTCGAGTCCTCTAGTTTCGAGTTCGAGTCCTGTCCGTGTGGAGCGTGTGGAACGTGTGGTAACTGTGGTAACTGCCATCCGGGCATCCCAACTGGGAGTGCCGGTCGTCAAAAACGCAAATACATATATACTTTCGATCTGAATCTGAATGGGTCTGCTGGCTGCTGGCCAGTGTCCTGTGCAGTGGTTCGCAAAATGTCCAAACGTCTTTGGGAACAGGAACGAACAAGCTTTGAAAATGCCTCAAACTACATACATATACGAATACAATATAAGCCGTCGTCTGCTTGAATATAGGTTTTGATATTGGTTACGGTTAAGTACTTAATGTGATAGGTAGTCGCACACGCGTCGTAGTAGAATCTCCATCGTGGCGATCCGATCCATTCGCAGGATCTTAAGACCCAAGACCCAGGACCAGGAAGTGAGTTGGAAAATGAAGGGGAACCTCGGTGCCTGGGTTGAAAATGCCTGGTTGGTAAATGGTTTAAATACGCGCCTTAATAACCGCTTTCGTTCGGTGTGTGTGTTATGTGTGTGTCTCTTTAAGTACGTTTTTTAGTTGGTTTCCTTAGTTTTCTCGTTTTGTTTTCGGTTTACTTTAATTTAAGTACGACAGTAATGCATAAATGACTAATATTTTTGCTTCACATCTATTTTACTTGTGAGTTTGCCATTAAAATACTTTTGGTTTTCTTTATCGATTTCATTTCGTTATTTACGCAACGCTAAAACATTTTAAAATGCATTTTCAAAGTTAATTCAATAAATATGCTCTTGGTTTTCCATTAGATAGGTTCTGTAAGCTTTTAAAGATCTAGACAATGTTTTCGAGTGTCGAAAATTAGCATACAATGGGGGCACATAGTTGCTCCTCCGCCTGCTGCTCCATCAATCAGCCCAAAGTCGGCACTCGGGGGAATCCGCGGTGTGCTGCAGTCCGTATAGCAACCCTTGTTTGCCAGGCCGCGATGCAGTTCCTCCTCCTCCTCCTACTGCTGCTGCTCGTAATCATCCGTAATTCATCCGCTCCCTGCGCAGGCGCACTCTCTCCGTTGGGTACCTGCTCTCCAGCTGCTGCTCCTCCTCCTCATCCTCCTCCACAGCCTGCCCTGTGCCCTGTGCTCCTGCTCCAGCTTACTGCTTCACCCTCGCCCGGTCACCGCTCTCCCGGCCGCCGGGCCCGTCCCTCTAGAGGCGATTCTGGTTGAGCTGGGAGCGCGGAGTGAAGGGACTGACCATCACGCCGCTGGGCCAGATGGCCTCGTTGAACAGCTCGTTGAAGCGGTAGTCCGGAATGGAGATCTTGAACTTGCAGTACGACAACTGCGACAGGTTGGCGTCGTTCTTCACCAGCTTGGTGCACTTGACCAGGTTCTTGTTGATCTTCAGCTCCTCGGCCAGATGATCGATCACGTCCTCCTCGCTGGTGTTCGTCGCGAACTTGCCCACCTGCACCCACCGCCCGTAGTCGCAGACCACCTGCAGTCGGTCAGAGTTGCAGTTGTTTCCCACCACGATGAGGTTGTTCTGCTGCGGATGCTTCTTCCCGTCCAGTCCGCCGGCGAGGCCACCAGCACCCACGCCGGGCGCCGCGGCGCCCAGTGCCTGGAGCGGCTGATTGCCGAACTGGAAGTACTGCTGGTACATCCGGCCCTGGATCTGGTTGACCCCGTTGCACACCTTGTTCACCTTTTCCTCGATGGTGTGCAGCTTGGCCGCAAAGGCGCGCGGCGACTGGTTCTTGCACTCGTCGCAGTGGAAGGATATCATCGGGTTCTTCTGGATCGCCTCGAAGGTTGCGTCGTCGATGTTGACGCACGTGCGGTGGAACCTCCTCCGGCAGTCCTCGCCGCTGCATCCGATGCTCGTGGCGGCCGCCTCCTTGGCGGCGATCGATTTTTTGCACTTGGGGCAGTTGTTGTTGTCGGCCATGGTGACTCTGGTTGCTTGATTGGCTGGTTGGTTGGTTGGTTGGTAGGTTGGTTGGTGGCTATCGATTCCGATTCTAAATCCGAATCCGAGTCCGCGTCCGATTTTCAAGCAGACGGAAAAAGAGAATTCGAACTTTCAGGAAAAACACACGCACACAGTGGAGTCACACAGTGGGTATATACACTACGGCCACAGCAACAACGGCAACAACAGCAACAGCAATAACAACAAGCGAGAAATTCGAGCGAAAGTCGCCTCCGCTCTCCGCTCCACCCTCTCTCTAGCTCTCTCTCTCTCGTCTTCCTGTATCTGCGTCCGTGTGTGTGTGTGGCGAGTGCTGTGTGTGTGTGTGTGCGGGAAGAGTGCTGAAATCGGGAAAGAGAAAACACGCAGACGACCGAAACTTGACAACCGCACGCTCCGAAGTTTGCAGACTGACTGTGCGCGAGCCGCCGCTTGCGATTCCGAATTCAAGTCCCAGGGCCGACTCGGATTCGGAATCGGAATCGGATACACTGGGCACACCGTGCAGTCCCAAACCCAAATGCAACCCCCGATAAAGCTGCCACTCCAGGGGTGGCTTTAACCACTATTCTCGCCATATGATTGACCAACCGACCCGACCCGACCGACTGGCAACCAGTTTTGTTTTCGCCAGCACCCACCCCTTGTGCCACTCGATTGGGGCTCCTCTGCACGACAGTGTTGGAAATAGGGGTAAGTGCAGTGTACTCCTTATAAGGATAATAAGCGACTTTGTCCTTTGGGTGGCTCACTTAGACCACACATTATCCGAATGCCATCGAAATTACACCAGTGATATAAAAGTAACGTCTTGATAGTCGTTAATTTGTTGTAAATGTTTTACTTTCACCTTGTGTATTTAAGTGGGCAGATTGAAGGATCATAGTATTATCTCGAACATTATAGGATCTGGTATGTTCGTATAAACAATAACATAGCATAACTGCAAAATCACAATTTATAATACTATTAACTTCTGTATTTACTATACGTATCTAAGGATCTGTATTTTATTTGGTAGTTTATCATTGAATGTGGAACTAGCATTCCATGTTAAATACTTTTATTCGTTAAGGCAGTTTCTAATATATAGTAAACTTCCAATTAACAAAAACTATACTTATAAATAAAAAGTGTGCGGAGAGCCTTACTTACTTTGTATTCTTGTGGCCAATTGAAGAGGAAATGGGGTCAGCTTCACATACAAGTCGTTATAGCAAATCCCGGCTTACAATCACTTCTGCTCCGCTCACAAGCGCTTTGTAAGGCAATTAATCAAATTCACACCCGTAATTGGCTGCAGTTGGGGCAGTAATTGGGGCCGTTATCCTGCTCCCTGCAGCGCGCTCCCGCCGAGTGCAACTGGCAACAGTTGGCCGTTTCCAGGATGAACTCTCACCTGCGGACGCAGCGACTGGGAAAAGGGAATCGCGAGCAACACGGTCCGCCAACTGAGGCTGTGCGCACAAGCTGCGTGGTATTTATACGCCACTCCGCTCCACTCGAAGATGGGTCCCGTTTCCTTTCCCTAATCCCTGGTGCCGCAGAGGGGATGATGGCCAAGCGATGTGGGCGGAAGTGGGGGTGTTTGCGCATGTCCTTGCCGGGAAATGGCTACGAAGTTAATAATAATAAACAAGTGAATTTCCGCTGACTGCGTGTTGCGACCTTAAAGTTACCAGGAAAGCTGGCATTTTCAACTAGTATTGAAAGCAGTCGTAATTACTATTATAGCCTTTATTTGGGAAGCATTGTATGTGGTTCATATTTTTGCACTTACTACTTTTACAATTAGCGTTCTATATAAATTCGAGTTGTTCTATGCTAAGTGATTCAACAGAAACCTATATACCCCTGCAAATAGTTAGAAGGTGTGAAAATGACAGGAAAATGCAAATAAAATTTGCAGGTGCTGCGGCAGCAGCTGTTATTGTTTGCCATCCGCCGCCAGGATTTGCCGGGCGGACACCTTTGGTAATTGGGTTTCATTAAGTGCTGGTTGCCGGGCTGCTTAGGTCCTGTTCCATAGCAGGGGCCACCGATTCCTTTGTGGGCCCTTGTTAGCGCTGCTCCAATTTCGCGTCGCCTGCATTGTCAATAGATTTTAATCAGGTGTGGCAAGTGTGTGGTAAACAGGCGCCTTGTGCTCCCCCAACTTGTCTGATTTAGACGTAGACTCCCCACAGCAGACGAGTTTCTATTTCCATTACCCTGTTTGCACGCTGTCTCGCCCCAATTGGTATTTATGTATGCAACCCACTCCCAGTCAATTTGGCCAGCAGTGCGCTGGATAGTATGCTACACTTTTTGTGCGCTCCTATTTTTAGGTAGCGCATCCTTTGTCGCCTAATTTGAAAGTTAATCTGAAGATGTCGATTGATATTCAAAACAAAGAAATTGACACAGATTTGCTTAAAAAAGTTAAACAACTTAACGACGTAGTTGTTTGATTCCATAAATACCCACCTACTTCTAGCAATGTTTGCCCACCAAAAGGAAAAACCCTATGATTTTGTTTTTATTTATTTATTTAAATAATTATGTATTTTCAGGGTGCAATTAATCATTAAATTAATTAGTAATATTATTGTTTATATACGGTTCATATATATATACTCTCATTAGCCGTCTGTTGCTTTCGGGGATTCTTATAGTTTTTCTTTGTTTTGTGTGTCCGTCTTGCCAGACGGAATTTAATTGCTCCGTCGCCCAAAGGACTCCGGGAAATCGCAATGCGATGCCAGGAACTCCAGTGGGCGCTCCGAACTCAGGGGCTTCATGGGTGTTTCTGTGTATACAATTGTTTTCTTTTTGGGTCTTCTTAAAATCCAAACAAAAATCGAAACTCTTCTAAACATTGTCATTGGTTATTACATACATATATTGATTTATATCTGTTAATGGTTATATGCATGTGAAGTGCCTGGGTGAGTTGAGATGGACATTGAACGAGATTGAGATTCTAATAAGCTTTAAGGGCGACATATTGTACACGCTACGAATATTGCTAAAAATACCTGCATTCGGATTGGATTTCGTTTTCCCTTCGTTTAATCTTTGGTTTTTCTCTAATTAATTTCGATTTCGATTTTGTTCGTGCCCCAATGGGTTGGTAGGCAAAGCACTTCGGGCAGGCGCTTGTAGAATCAATTAGTTAATACATTAATCGTAGTATAGGCTCTATCTTCAGAACAATTTGAGTACAATATGTGCTAGGAGCTGTGGCTCTCTGATTCTGATTCTGATTCTGGTTCTGATCGGTTATGATGGGGGCAATGGGTTCCGGTGGAGTGTGGAGTGTGTGAGATCTAGATATCATATCGTTACATACACGTACATATATATGCTCTAAGTACCGCCTCGTCTATTACTCGTAACACTGAAATATACAAACATATATGCCTCGTCGAGCTAACTAAATCCTTTGGATAACCAACGTATTGTGTGTCTAGCGCTTAATTTAATCGTTGAACTGTCTGGATTCCGCTTTCAATCGAACCTTTCGAGCTATTCTCAAACACAACAGTAATGATTGCACGTAAACAGAACGCAGCAAATGAATCGCTTGTATATTTTCACTAGACTTTAGGTTTATTAGCTTTTGCTGCTTTACGGCTTCTTGTTTGTTTTTTCAGCCGACTACACTTGCTGTTTTTGTATAAGTAAAGTTCCTTGAATACATTTAACTGCGTTTACTTATGCGGCCCGGCCCGTCGATTCAAACTTCTTTTTGGATTATACATTTCGAATATCATATTTGCGTAACTTTACTTAGGAACAAAGCTTAGATTTCTTTGGTTTTGCGTCTGTTCCGAAATAGTTATGAATCTGTTAGTTTTGTCTAGTCGATTTGCTAAGGAAACTGAGTTCAAAGAGCTGCGAACATCGGGAAGCGACCACCTGTCCTCCTGCTTCCACTGGCGCTCCTTGTTGCCAGTGCAGCGCAGAGATGCAAGTTCCGTATAGGGTAGTACGTGGTTGGAGTCACTCGTAATATTCAAGTTCCATATATTTTGGTATTTGTATTTGTATTTATATTTATAATTATATATACCGTTTTATGCATGAAATAATGTAACCATAAACAAATTAGCAACAACTTCAATTTGTCCGGAGCGTCTTCATTAGATTTAGTATTAATATTATGACGTAAGTTACTTAAAACCTCTCACACCAACTCGTGCACATCGTCTAAGTGGAAATTATTATTGAGTTCATTGCAATTCTCGAGATTTTCTAGTTTAACTGAGTTTTCCTTTCTTGGTTTTGTTTCTTTGTCTTCTCTGCTTTGCTTTGCTTTCGCCCGCTGCTGGAGCCCACTAATCGAGAAACGTTCGTCCTTGTAGCGAGATTGCTTACACGCCGCCGTGGTCGCCAGCTCCTGCCGATCCTCCTACTTCTGCTCCTGCCCCATCCACCAGCGATGACTGTCCTCCGGCTGGCTGCTGCGGAGGCGGCGGCGGTGGCTGCATGTACTGTGGGGGGTACTGGTACTGTGGTGGCTGCTCCCCGCCTATGAGGCCAAGTTTATCTGTGTCGGAGTAGTGCAAGCATTAGTAGGGCACGAAATGGGATGGTTCTTTAGAGCTCTTTAGCCAATCTCAGACATCGATACACGAGTATACGCCAAAAATATTACACTTCAATGCTTAAAAGCTCACTCATGACGGAAGTGGACATATAGCAAGTGGACATGGGATATGGACGTTGGGAGGGGGCGGACAGCAGGGTCAACTGCATCGAACAGGTATATATATATACATATATATTTATGTACATTTAGGCAGTCACAGGAAGCTGTCTTCCGTCAAACCTCCCGAAGAGAAGTCCTCTCGCTTTTAGTGCATTAAACTTAGGCCAATTCCAAAACACATACAACATTGAATTGGGAAATCAAACAACCACAAATGAAAAGGCACTAATCACACAAAGACATCGATTAACTCACAAACATGCGGCTAAAGCTGGCCGTAAACGATGAGGCACCGCTTACAGTCAGCCTGAAATCATATAAAATCAGGGGAACAGCGGAAAAGGAAGTGGTAGCACGAACGGAAACGGAAGTAAGAAGAAGCACAGGTGTCAAATTACTGGGGATGATTATTTGCATTGATATGTTGCCGTTTTTTTACGTTTGCTTACAGTGTATCAGATTAGATCGATTTTGTCAATGGTACAAAGAAAGTGTGAAATGTTTTCTTTTCGATTTTGATTAATTTTGACTATGGTTCTACGGATGCGTCTTGGTGGTTAATCGATGGCTGATTAGTTTGGTTGGTTGGTTTGTTGGTTGGTTGGTTGGTTATTTGGTTGATTTTGAATGTTGGTTTGCAAGAGAGATCGTGAGCGTTCTATTGTCCAGTCGCCACTTCATCCGACGGACTCTGTGGGTGGTCGGTCAATTTCTCGGCCAATGGTTTCTCGAGTGTCGGTGGTTCAGATTTTAGATTTTGTGTATGGTGGTGTGGTTGTAGTTGTTGTTCTTGTTGTTGTTGTTGTAGTAGTTGTGGTGGTGGTGGTGGTGCTGAATCAGGTGCAGTTGCCGATGCCGGAGCCACCTGCTGCTGCAAGGCAGGAGGCTGCGGAGCAGCATTATCATCCGACATGTACGGTTCTACGAGAAATTGTTCGGTGAGTTCATGTTGTTTCAAAGCGAGCAGATCAAGTTTGTTACAAAAAACTATAAACCCAAACAGATACGGTTTTGAGTGATGTAAAACAAAGGATTTATCAACGGGTGCACCTAGCGATAAACGTGGCGTATGAGTAATAAATAAAAGATTGCTCTCGCTGTTTACCTCACACAGAAAGTGTTATATTGGGTAAATTGGTTTGCTTATGGTTAACAAAATTGTACAAAGCTAAAGCTTTCAGTGTATTTATTCTTCGTCTTTCTCTGTAATTGTTCAAAAATATGGTTCAGTGTTGAGAGTGTGTCAAATCAAAGTGAAAACATTTAACAAACAGAGGTAAATCAGGTAGAATGGCAGTACTTTATGCTTTTGCTGTGGTTCTGTGGCACAAGAAAGGCTGGCATTTTCGATCCGAAGGCCGTTGCGTTTTCAGTGGAGACTTCAGTGGAGTATCGAGTAACGAGTTTCGAGGAGGGACTACGTTTACTGGGGAAGTGGGTTCGAGTTTTGTATTTTACACAGGACATGGCACAGTCGTGTGTCTGTGGCTGTGGTGCTGCTGCCAATATCAGAACGAAACAAACGAAAAACGGATACGGATACGGGTACGGATACGGTTAACGAAACACTGAACAAACCACAAACTTTACGATTACGGCTTACGGGAGTTAGAACTAGCTAGCTAGAACTTAAGGTCCTACGGATAAGGCTAACGGGTACCATCGAGCATCGGTCCACCTCCGCCAGGTGGAGGTCGGCTGCTGGCCAAGGTCCATCCATCTTCATCCAGACCCTCAACCGCCTCAACCGCCACCCACATGGACAGAGCTCGCGGATCCGATACTCGGAGTGACCACAACTTGATTACTGGTTGGGCAACGGAACGAAACAACACAGGACACGACTTTCAGTGGGCATCAAATGAAATCTTTACCGAACCTGTGCGTATGCTCGTATGGAACCAGATGATGTTGGGCTTGGGCATACATGGTACAATACAAATATATGCCATTTAGCAATTAGTTATTGTTCTAGTGGTGGCTGAAGCGCATGACATGATATGATCGATCGATCTATAGTTATGGAAATTTCGCAAGGCATCTAGGTCGAATCGGTTGAGCGAACGGTCAGTTGGACTGTGAGTTCGCAGCTCTACTCATAGCAGTTGTGAATGAGTCTGAACTTGATTTCGGTTTCGGTTTCGGTTTTGGTTTCGATTTCGGTTTCGATTGGTTCTTATTGGGTTGATTGATTGGCTTTTGATTTGGTTTCGATTTGCATTGCATTGCGGCTAAGAACTAGTTTCTTACGGATTAGATAGTTAGCAATCTACATAAAGTTACCTAGAGAAAAAAAGTGGCGGAATTAAGAACAAAATTTAGATTCGGTGTGTAGATAAACGAAAGCGTTTCGGGCCAACAAAATCAGCGCTAAATCAAGGCGAACTCAAAAGACAACACAACTGGGTAACTGGATAGCTGGGTAATCTTGAAAGTATTTTTGGTTCTGTGTGTGCGTGAGTCGAGTGGTGTGGTGTGGGTCGAGGTCAGTATCTCTAGGACATGTGTGTCCCAGAAATAAGTGCACCAAGTTCGCCAAGGATCTGTCAACTTACTTGCAATAATGCCCACGACTACCAGACCAATCACGCCCATGATGATCATCATCTGTGCAGAGGAAAGTAAGATTGCAGTTTGGTCTCGCAAGTTATATGCCATCCTCGGACTTACCTTCAAGTTCTGGAGCCAGAATTTCCTCTTGAGCTTGCCCGCCTGCTGCTCGAACTGCGAGGCGCCCTGCTGCAAGGCATCGGCGCGGTCGTCCAGCTCCGACAGCTTGCTGTCGCGCTCCAGCACCTTCTCCACGTTCGTGCGCATGATGTCCACGACCTGGTCAGGGATGTAGGGATGCAGTGGCTGATATGCGATCGACTTCTGTTCCGAAACTCACCTCATCGACCTGCGCCTGCGTCTGCTGCAGACGCTTCTGTGCCGCAATCTGCTGCGGGTTGTGTGGTCCGCCCACAATCTCGCCATCGCCGCCCTCTCCGGCCGGGGCTCCGGCGTTTGGTGGTGCATCGCCAGCTGGTGCAGCGTCCGCCCTGCGGAGGAGGTCGGCATTAGTCATCGGATGCGGAAACAAAAATAGCTCGGGCCAAGACTAATCAACTCCCAACGGGGGCTCTCGAATTAAATACAGTACTTAGATTACACAAGGAGTGGGTGTGGGTGGATACGAACGACTATAGTTTCTAGCTTTAATCGAAACATCTCCAAGATACGTGTGGGCTACAGACAGTGCTGGAGTATAGTTCTAGCCAGCTACCCTTTAATTTGAGGACGCACTTACGGTTCCTTGTTCTTGTCTTTCTTGCCCATCTCAGACCCCCAAAAACTATGACCTTTACCTCGTCTTCTGGGCTCTGCGGGCCAAAGGAAGGGAAATTATTAATTTTAAATAGTAATTGCATTATCGTAATAAGTGAAGCTCATCATGTTGGACTAATTTGTATGGTTTCTAGGTGATTTTTGTCAATTTTTGTGTAATGATAGATATTTTTTAGTGACACAAACTACAGCCTGAAGTACCAAAATATATCTATAGCCATAGGTTATTGTTTTTGGCAAATTGTTTTATCGAACCGTATTTCCCGTTCCCACGACAAAGAAACACAAATCAATATCTTTCCCCAACCCCTTCGACCGGCGGCATTTGGTTTTTCTAGATGTATGGGGGAATATTTTTAGATCAGTCAATTTTCCCGACTGTAATTTACTAGCAGAAACCATTTTATATGGAATCAAGGAGAATGATTAACTACTTGTATGTGTGTATAACAACATCCTGACACATATCCTATGTTTGGGTTCAAAGGACCAAAAAATGGGTGCACCTTAGTTTGCATGTCCTGACTCACTGGTGCGAAACGTGTTTTTATTGATTTTGCGGTGTGAGAGACTTGGCCATGTGATGCGACAACGTCATCGCCAAGTGAATCATGCCTAGTGAACAGAAATGGCAGCTGCAGCTGGCCCGTGTTCCTTTTACGGATTTTACGGGCGCGAGCACTTGGACAAATGACAAATGAAATGGGCGACCCATGCTGCGTATACTTAATGCGGCTATCAAACGAGCATTCCCTCTGTGACGGCGAAAAGCGAGGCGGGGAATCGGGCAAATGGAGAATCGGAGAATCGGAAGCCCATTCCCCGCCGGAAAACAAATCAATAACGTCCATCCACTTACATGGCTCTGGTGGCTGTGTGGTTGCTTCTGTGGTTGGCTGGTGGTGCTCTGGTGGCCTCAACGAATTCGTCTGGCGATGATTAGGATGAAGGTACTCTATGCTCTATGCACTATGCACTTGGCCTCTTTCACTGTATTCCACTGCCGCAGGTCGGGATGTGGGATGGCCAGTGGGCTGTGGTGGTGGTGTGGGTGTAGGTGGTGGGTGGTGGTGCAGCTGAACTCTGTTTCGTTGTTTTTGTTCTAGAGGGTTGCGCTCTCAGTGCCGCCTCTCTCTCTCTCACTTTCGCTCTACCGCCAGAGCTTTTTCGCCCCCAGTCGTCAATGAAAATTCACTCCACTCCACGGGGGGATTGGCTGGATCTGGATGATGTGTATGTGTGCGGGTAACACTTGCCACGACAGCCTTTCGCAGGAATTTTCTGGCTCAGCGCTGGAACTGCTGCTGAATAGAGGCGAAAATAGTTGCAACTATTTTTAGTACATCGGTTAATGGTTAAAGTGGGCTGCTATAAGGCTCTAATTGGGACGCAATAGGACTATTTGGGGGGCAGCAACACGCCCAGCCATGAGGCATGTCCTTCCTTATTTTCGTTGCATACCCCCAGGGGCACTTTCAGCTGTCTTCAAAATGCAAAACGTTTTAAAAATAATTTCAAGTGCCCAACGGGCCAACGTGGGCTCAAGTAAGAAAAATCAATGAAATTCTGCACGACATAGGTTTTCGCTGACTTTGGTGGACTTTTCGTTTGACTTTCGTATTCCTAATCAATCAGTTTTAGCACTCTTGATCAGAATCACTTTACTTTTGCTCGGGCAGCTTCAGTTTACAAAGAACTAGGCTTAAATAATATTATTTGAATTTTTTACGCAGCACAAGGAAAATTTTCACTTACGACGTTTTTGGCCAACTGCGAAAACTTGCAGCTTTCCTAACTGTTATGTGTATTTGGGGAAAAAGCTGCCTGGATGGTCAGCAGCGAATGGTGTTCCAGCGAGAAGCTTTTCCTTAGCGATTGCCCAGGGGTGGGAAATTTAAAAAGCCGGGCTTTCCATCAAGGAAAAGTAACAGTCAAAGTTATAGTTAAATTATATATGAGTTTTGACTTTGTATTTTCTATTATAAAGTGTTTCTATCAAATGGAAACTAGTCTAAATTGAACTAAAGCGGTTTCCTGAACTTTGTCTGAATCCACACGCGGTACATCTTCAAGCCGCGACCGCGATTAACTTGCAGTCTTCGGTCCACAATGAGCTGCTCCTCCTGCAGCCCCGCTTGAGTCATCATACCCCGCAGTTCGTCCTCCGTGAAGAAGTACACCATGGTGCCGTCGCCTCGCACGTAGAAGTTGTCCTCCATACACTTGCCGCTCTTGAAGCGCAGCTGTGCCAGGTCGTACCGTCCGTAGTCCCGGAAGAGGAGCATGCCCCCGGGTCGCAGGTAGCGGCAGCAATTGTCCAACACTCGCTGCATTTTCTTTGGCTCAATTGCAGACAGCACAAAAATCATTACAATGATGTCCTGTGAGTTTTCCTCAAAGGGCACCTGCCAATGATCCAACGTGGCATCCATGACAAACACCTCGCAGCGCTTCTCGTCGAACTGGGATTGGCTTCGCAGGATTTCAATGGCCCGGGCGGAGAAGTCGCATCCAAAAACCTTCAGCTGCGGCTCAGAACTGTACTGTAGGAGGGGTAGAATAGTGTTTCCAACTCCACAGCCCAATTCGAAAATGCTGCGCGGCTGCTGTTCCGCCGGATCTGCCGCCAGAGGAGCTAGTTCGGGGAACTCTGTGAACAGCCAGTGGCGATCCTTGAAGAAGCGGTTGTCGTGAATGCCGTAGAAGGAGTCCCAAAACTTGGGGGCGTCTGTCTGGAATCGCTCCTTCTGCTCCGCTTCCATCTTGGATGTGGAGTTCTTGGCTACAGCCGCCTGCGCGGCCAGTTCCTGCTCCTCATCCCATTGCACGTGGTCCCTGTAAATCCAGATTTAGAGGGATTTTCGTGAGTACTAAACTGCGGATAAGTACCAGGCGTTAAACTCGAACACCTCTCGCACGTCGGTGAGCACCCGGCTGCCCGCTCCCGCCGGTTTTTTACGCTGGCGAGTGTGCTCCCAACTTTTGCTGGCCAATCTCCGCAGGATTTGCCGCCCATATTTACCAAGCATTGTGCTTGAAGACGTCGTCAGCATCCGTGAGCAGGCGGGTTCCGAACTGCGGTCGCTTCTCGTTCTCCGTGGCGGGGTTGTCACTCATGTCGGTCAGGACTGACGGTGTATATCACCTGTTGGAGCGATCTAAATTCTATATTTTTTGGTAAACACGCGGCCAGTGTGGCCGTGCACCGATCCCACGAACTTAAACCGTTAGTATTTTCGAAGCGGCACTCATCCGGGCGGAAAATCGGATGTCCCAGTTTTTGCTGGTTCTCCCGAAAGCAATTGTGAAATATGTGTACTATGTGTGTTCAGGTTAATGTGTGCTGGGTACGCATCGAGTTTTCAACGGAAACCACGAAAAAGGGAAAAGAAAAGTTGAAAATTGCGGACAACTGCAACAGTGCTGCCAGACCACCAATAAGTGAACGCACAGTTTATTTAAGGATGTGCTCGTGACTCAATAAATTTGCGGAAAGATCTTGTGGCTAAGCAACATGAATCAATAACTGGTAAATTGAATGTTAAACCCGTTGGTAAGTAAAATTAAAATTTATTATTAGCCCGTATTATTACAATATATATCCAAGCTTCGAATGTATTATAAACCATTTGAATAAGTTCTTCGTGCTCGTGCCGTGCTTTTGCTCCCATCGCTACGTTTCGACTGCACTTTTCCCAGTGGCAACGCCGCGTCAGTTGGTATATCAAAACCGCAAACCAACCTTTTTGTTGTATTGTGCGTTGTTTTCTGCGACGGAGGCGAGAAATTTAAACAATTAGCTTTCTGAGCGCTGAGATACAAACGCTTATTGCGTATACGTAGAAGGTTCGTCGAAGGAGCGACAGAAAGAAACCCATTCAGGGTACCGAGTTCCAGGGACAATTGTTGGCACGCAGACGTCTGCAGAAGAACCCACAGAAACATACCCCATTCAGCGTTCCACCGAGCGGACGAATCGCGTTTAATCCGTTAAAATGATGAACGAGGCGGCACTTGCCAACATGATTCCCTACGACACCATCGGATTGTACGAACAGCCCAAGCCGCGCTTCATTTTCAAGATGCCTCGCGTGGTCCCGGACCAAAAGTCCAAGTTCGAGAGCGATGAGCTCTTCCGGAGGCTCAGTCGGGAGAGCGAGGTTCGCTACACGGGCTACCGGGAGCGGAGCATCGAGGAGCGGCAGGTGCGCTTCATGAACGGATGTCGCGAGGGACACACGGAGGCCAGCTTCGTGGCCTCCGGCACCAATCTGCAGCTGGTATTCAACGCCAACCAGAACCCGTACCTGCACGACAAGGAGTGCGACTTTGACAAAGAGCACGGCAAGGTGCACATCAAGTCCTACTTTATCATGAACGGCGTTTGTGTCCGGTTCCGTGGTTGGATAGATTTGGAACGACTAGACGGTGTGGGCTGTCTGGAGTATGATGAGCGGCGGGCGATGCACGAGGATGCCATTCTGCGGGATCAGATCGACCGCTACAACCAGCGACTGCGTGAGTTCGAGGACACCAAGCGAGCCTATCGTGACAATCGACAGGACGAGATGGAGGCGGTGCGGAGGGGCGTGGCCTCCGGAGGCATTGGCGTCGGCGCCAGCATGTGGCGTCGTTAGTTGGACCTGTGGACGGCTCCAGGGCCGTCCCATCCGCAGCTGCCGCTCCAGCAGCAGCAGACGCATCACCAGCAGTTAGAGACTCAATTCGCGAATACTCAATATTTCATGGACAACTGAGAATGCTCCAAACCCCTTAAATGGGCCTTCACTTGCGAGATTTCAATACGATTACGTTAGACACGCTCGAATAATTATGCTCCTAGATTAGTGTTAGATGTAATGCTTACTTTACGTATGCTTTTATGGTATTATACTTACAACTTAGTGTGGAATTAGTGTCGTATCTTTAACTAAAATACATAATTACTAATCGATATCGCATTGTTGATCTTGGAATTTCCGCTTCTGGCGTGATTAAGAGTCTTCACTGGAAATTGCCTACGGTGGCTAGGTATAAAGGCACGGATAAAGATGCGGGTTAAAGAAAACAAGGCATTTGCTTTGATTTTATACCATATATTATACATTATACAGATACTGAACTTCATACATAATAAGCAAGAATCGTGTAAAACTAAACTAAGGGGTCTCGCTTGGCGTGGTGGAAACATTTGAATTAAAAGCGACAAGCTTGTCCGTCCTAGCGGAATTGCAGGTTTGAAATGCGCAGGCCAATGCTATCCTTGCCTATCTGGCTCACCTCGCAAACTGTGCAGAGATTACCCTTGAACTGTGGGTCGAAAGAGGAGGAGCAGAAGGGACAGGTCACTTCGGGTTTACCCCTATACAGTGGCTTCCAACTGATGCCGCAGATTGTGAACGGATTAAACTCTTCGTACTGCAGCTGGTGCTCGTCCACGGGATTAACCTCGCAGGCCTGCAGGATCTTGCGCACTTGCTGGGCAACGTCCGGACGTGGCGCCAGTTCCAGAAGTCGACGGGCAAATGAGGCGGCCGTCTTGTAGTTCTTCAACTTGAAGAACATGTTGAGGGCGGTGCGCAGGGTGAGGATTTGATGCACGGGCTGCAGCTTGCAGTGTGTGAAGTAGGCGGCCATCTCGCACAAACGTTTTTGCTCCTCAAGCGTTGACTTCGGCATGCCCTTGCGCACAGTCTCCATCTTCAGGCCAACGATATACTCCGCACAGATCCTCAAAAGTTGTTGGGCCTCCGCCGCATCTAGCTTCGTGTCCACTACCAGCAGAGGAATGCTGATCAAGATGGAATGGAACTTCTCGACTGCCTCGGAGAATTTTCCAGAAGTTGTTAGTTGGTAGCCAGCTTGCAGGCGTGCCACCAAATCGTTAAGTTTGATGCCAACTGCTGGGCGCTGCAGCTTGATGTTCGTTTCGGAGTAGTTGCGAAGTGGGTAACCACTTAGGGATTGCAGATTCGGGTTGGCCGTGTAGCTGGTTCGAGAGCAGGCGTAGTTCTGCAGGAAGGGTGTCTTAAATGGCTTGAAATTGACCACTCCCAGCTGATCGTGCAGTAAACGGAAGGCGGTTTCGAATGATCCGGCCTTGACATGGTCCAGCACCAGAGGCGAGTTGTTCGCCCATTGTTGGGCAGGAGACAAGCCTTTGTTGGGAGCGGCATAGTAGTTGCTGTCGAGGGCGGAGGCCTTGATCTTGGAGGCCAGTTCCTCGGGCACAACCAGGTCATCATCGCCAACATCCCAGCCGGCTCCTTCCTCTCCACCTGCACCGCCATCGCCATCGTTACTCAGAGCATCATGCATCTCGTCATCTCCGTCCTCATCTAGTCCCAAATCGGCATCCGCTCCCCAGCCATCTCCACCGCCATTGTGCTCGTCCAACACTGCAGCATCGGCATTGATGTTCAGCGCTTGTCGGGCAGTGGCACTGGAGCCAGCCCTGGTTACCATGGCGCCTTCAAAGAAGCCCTTGGACACAGACAGCAACGGCCAATTGGTTTCAAGCTGTTGGATGGGCACTGGTGGCTGCAACAACTGGGCATTGGGATTCACCTCGGGAAGGCTGTGACCCTGCGAAGTTATCGATTCGCCCAGGGACTCAGAGAGCTCATCGAATCCATGAGTAGCGGCTGTGAGATAAGCTAATGAAAGTTGTCCGCAGTTTTTAAGGATGTTCACCCGCTCCTTGACATCACCGAGAAGAAGAGCACCCTGGTATTGGGCGGAAACATCCTTGCGGATCTCGGCAATCTTGTTCATCTTCTTGAGCTTCTCCAAGTTGCCGGTGATCAGGTAGAGGAAGCTAAGCTTGTCAAAGTTCTTGGTCCGCTGGTAGCACATCTCTACCACCTGGTGGTTTCCTTGAAGCAACGCACTATTTCCCAGGCGATCCCAGCAATCCTTGTCGTCGAGAGCCTTAGCTGCTTCGAGTGCAATTTCGATGTTACCGCACTCCAGGGCGAGTCCAAATCGGGTTTTCTCGTCCTTGACAAAATGCAGGGCCACCTCTGGATAACCCTTTTGCTGCAGGTAAGCGATGATGCTCTGACCCACTAGGCGGGCATTCCTCACCATGTGCAGTACTTCATCGTACTTGCGTTGGATCAGGGCAAGCTTAAACTTGTACTCCGTAGGATCGATGTGGAGCACCCGGGTGCGGCACTCCCGGTCCAAGCAGAACACCTGGTTGCCCTTGACGCGTGTCAGATAAATGGGAAGGTCCAGCGTACGGATAATGCCGTGGTCTCCGTTTGTAATGGCGTACTTAATGTGGTTGCTGGTGGTGTATATGAACACTCCAGACTCGTCCCAGGCACCAGACTTTACGCGGCAGTTCTCCTGCACGGTGCACAAGTACTGAAGTCTTCGGTCGCAGATTGTAACCGAGTGCTTGCAGAGCAGAGCGACCAAGGACATATCCGGAGACCACACCACGTAGCGGCACTTGGCCAGTTTAATGCTTCCAACGGAGACAAGCCGCTGAACCTCGTACAGTGTGACAAACTCAGGGTCCCGGATGAGCAGCATTCCCGTGCCGGCATAGAAGATCTCCTCGCAGAAAGTGGGCAACTTCTTGGTCACCTCGTTCTTGAAATTCTTGATCACCAACTGCTGGTTGCGATCTAGCACTGCAAACCGATTGCGGGCCACCCAGATGGCCGTGATTCCAGAGCTTCGCTTGCTGTCCGACTCGCTCTGGCTCTCGGTGTCCTTGGGGATCTGGCAAAGATCGTAGGTGCTGTTTTCCAGGTTGTTGGTGCGCGTGCAGATGAGCACGGCGTTCAGAGCTGGGTTATACGACATGCTGTACACCGGCGACTTGCCCGGCCGAAGCTGCATCACCACAGTGTCTTTGGTGGTGGTAAAGTCCAGTTTGCGTAGGAAACGCTCCTTTACGTAGTAGAGAATGTTGCCGTGGACAGCATAGGCGGGACGCTCTCGCTCCAGTTTAAAGACCACCATACCTAAAAGAAAACGGATCATTACAATAAAGGCCTACTTTTAAAAGTAATCAACTTACCTCCATCGTGGCCAGCGGCAAACAGATTCAAGGTAGGATGCGCTGTGAGTATCCAGAAGCGCTCGTTGTCCCGCCGGAAAGTAAAGAGGCACTGACGCTTGGTCATGTCCCAGACGCGAATACTGCGATCCTCTCCGTTGGAGAGAATCAGGTCCTGCCTTGGATGGAACAACACGCTGGACACATTGTTGTAGTGACCGCGACAGGTGTCTACCTCCCAGGCCTTATACTCGTTCATGCGCCACAACTTCACCAGGCGATCATCGGCACCGGATACAATCAGCGGCAGAGTGGGATGGAAACTGGCCCAGTTGACGCCACGGTCGTGGCCCTCGAGCACGTGCTTGACCACGGCATCTGCTTGGCCAAACAGATCGGTGGCGCCCGGATGACCCTTTAAGTGGTCATCAAGCCCACCGGGACCGGGAGCCACGTTCTTCTTACGCAGTCCCGAAATGTCCCACACGCGGACAGTCTGATCGAGTGACGCAGAGACGATCTGATCCTCCGTGGGATGGAACTGGGCGCACATCACATAGTGGTTGTGGCCCGTTAGCACGCAGATGCAGTTGCGCGACTGCCAGTTCCAAATGCGGATGGTCTGATCGTCGGAGGCGCTCAGAATCCATGGGTATTCGTGGTGGAAAGCCACCGTGCGCACATAATCCAAATGGGCCAGAAGGGTAAAGATGCAGCGGCGTTGCTTGTAGTTCCACACCTTGATCTTGTAATCGTCGCCGCCGGAGACAAAGAGCGGCATCTGCTGGTGGAAGGCCACGCCTCTTACCGGTCCGTCGTGCTCGTCGAACTTCTCGAGGAGCGTGTGCATCCGGTAGTCCCACAGCTGGATGACGCCGCTGTGCAAGCTGACCAGGATCCAGGGGCGCTTAGGATGGAAGGACAGGCCCTTCACCCTCGCCGACTTCGACTCGAAGTTGGTCAGCATGCTGGCACTTTTTTTGTTCTGCCTCTAGGTGTCTCAAATTGTTTGCTTTTCTACGTGTCGGCTTATCCTTCAAGCGCCCTTTTTCGGTTGGTTCGGGCACTCGCCTGTATCAAAATATCAAGAAGTGGGCGTTAGAACAAACCCATTTTATTGATATGCTTTAATTAACACGTCATATATTGCCAACAATTAATTTTAAGAAAAACACCAACCAATCGTCGAAATTGTGACACGTCAATTATCTTCCTCTTCTCGACACAGACAGTGTTGCCAGCGTTGGCAGATTTACTGACTAGCAACCATAAGTTTTCAAGAAATTGGTTGCGAATGAATTATCGTGCTCTGTAATCTCCTTTATATATGTAACGTTAATTTCATTGAATATATTTTCCCTTCGCCAATAATCTTCAAAGCTCAATTGGTTAATGTCTTTCTATGAACACTTTCAGTGGCCACTGTAATCGCAGTTACACAACACTGGACAAAGTGCATTCGGTTTACGGTAACTTCGCTTTGTTTATTTTCTGTAATATCATGGAAAGTATATAAATAAGTGACAAAGATGACACTGGCACACCGGGCGCTCTTCACTTGGTTTATCGTCCTGGTCTTCCTGATTCTTCTGTGCCTCCGCCTGGACCCCCGCACCACTTGGAATTGGTTCGTCACCTTCACGCCGCTCTGGTTCTTCGATGTGATCATTATCATCTACGTGATCATTAAATTTATCCGCAAATGGCGCAACCTAACCTGCTTGACGGATCTCCTGTTCCTCTACAAATGGAACATTGCCGGCGTCCTCCTGACCATCGCCTCCCAAGTGATGATTTGCCTAACGTTGGAGTACCCGCAACAGATTCCCATATACGTGACCGTGGCCCCGGTCATCCTGCTGCTGAGCACCGCCATCTTCTATGTGGGCAGCAGGCTGGGAAAACGAGAGGGCTGGATTCAGTAGGATTAAGCGTATATTGTAGGATTAGGTGTACATAAAATGGAAACTCAAAAGCCGTATTTGCTTTGGGTGGCCCGACGGGTCTGCCGGTTGGCCGACCACATGGCTTGCAGCTCGGCTTCGTTGGCCTTCGCCTTGTGCGCCAGGTAGGTGATCTGGTGCTTGCGCCGTGTCCCTGCTACCGGCTCCTCGTCCGTCAGCACGCCGGTAGGTTGGAAGGTGGTGGACGAAGCCAGAGCCGATCGCATCCATTCCTCACGATCAGGTAGCACCTGTGAGCCAGATATGTCGATCACCTGCATCTCCTTGGCCTCCTTTCGCCGGCGCTTTGCATTTTTGCCCACCAATGCGTCCATGGCATCTGCGTTTAGCTGCTGCTCGTGGTAGCGCTTTTGTGCAATCTGAGTTTGCTCTTCCTCAAGTCGGGCGGCTTCTGCTTCGGCTGCTTCTTTTTCGGCTACCTCCTCGGGGTATTTGCTACTGGCCTCCACCATCTTTGCCGCTCGCTTAGCCACTAGAGCGCTAATCTCATTGCTGCTCACCTCAGGCAGCTTTTGCTCGGAGTTCAGGGAGAAAAAGTCTCCAGTGCCATCTTCATCATCTTCACTATCGCTGGCATTTACCAGGGAAGTCGTCTTGGTTATAGATTTGGATTTTGTTGGCTTCATAGCCTCCTTTCCCTCAGGAATCTTCTTTTGGCCGGCCTTAGGGCCATCAACGCCTTCCGTATTGTGTGCAGCTCGTCGTTGCTTCACTGTATCGGGCACAAAAGCTGGTGCTGCTCGAGGCTGTACAGGATTATTGTTTGCACTAGGAGCAGGTGAGGTGTTGGCTGATTGAGAGACTGCCGCGGATGGGGAGCTTTTGGAGAAATTGCGCTCCGACTTTGCCTGCGGGAGCAGACTCAACAGTCCCGATCCCTTAGGTGCGTTGGGTTTGTCCACTTTGTTCTTAGCCCTATCAGCTTTCTCCTTGTCCACATCTGAGAAATCCCTTAGTGAAGGAATGCTGATTTTTACCTTTCCCTTAACTGGCGGCGGTGGAGGTTTCTCTATTTCTACGGGTAGCGCCTTTTTGTGCAGGAACTCATCATCTTTCTCCTCTACAATGGCTTTTCCTGTCGTTGCTGTTCGTGGCATGGGAAGCTTGGCGAAGGCGGAGGTAACCAGGTTGTCGGCATCCTCATCTTCCAGATCCTTAGCGGGAGCACTGACCTTTGGTTTGGGTAAGGCCAGTAGGAGTCTTGCGGTGGGCGGCTTTAGCTCCTGAAGGGACACTTCCTGGGGAACGTAATCGTCGTCTTCGTCGCTAATGTGACCACTGGTTGAGTCAGGAACCAGAGACTCCTCATTGGCAGGATTTGTTGTGCTCGGCTTGGCTGGTGGTTTTATTACCTCCGCTTGTGGTACATGGGTTTCTTCCTCGTTATCTGAGTCTTCGTCGGAACTGGCGGCATAAGCAACAAGCGACATGTTTAACAAATTGCTGAATTAAACAATACAATACACAAACTACAGCTGTGTCTCGCCTCTAGAGTTGTCACCTGCTTGGAATTTTCATTGTTGGCAACAATGTTGGTTTGCTCAAGTGCTGTGCTAACCAACACTGCTGAAAAGACCGTTAAACGTACTTTCGACTTTGAATTTAAAATTATACATTGCGTTCAGTTCGTTCGTTTTATTTATGCTAGCATTATACCTGCAAAGCCCACTGTATACAAATAAAAACTGTGAAAACCCTTAGGATTATAAAACCTCAAATAGGGTACTTATAGGTGGGATACCTGATCCTGATCGAGCCCAGATGGTTTCCATCGTCGATTACCGTGTGACAATTAGGGGATTCATCAGGTAGCCTAATCGCAAATGATTACCTGTTGTACAAGTCTTATTTAGTTTAAATACGGCGGTCCAACTTAACACTGATCAGTACACCTATTCACATCGGAGAATACAGATATAGCGAAAGACATGCATCATCACCAGAATCTCGGAGACGCGGCAGCCTTAAATGGGATGATCCCGCCATACGAAGCCATGGCCATGTACGAGCAGCCCAAGCCCAGATTCATATTTAAGATGCCCCGTGTGGTGCCTGACCAGAGATCCAAGTTCGATAGCGACGAGCTCTTCCGCCGGCTCAGTAGAGAGAGCGAAGTTCGCTACACAGGATACCGGGAACGTGCGATGGAGGAGCGCAGGATGCGATTTGTGAACGACTGCCGCAAGGGCTATGCGGAGATATCGATGGTGGCTTCGGGCACCAATCTGCAGCTCTACTTCAACGCCAACCTCAATCCGTATGCCCAGGAGCAGGAGTGCGACTTCGAGCGGGAGCGGGGCAAAGTCCACTTGCGTTCCAGCTTCATTATGAACGGAGTGTGCGTCCGATTCCGGGGCTGGGTGGATCTGGACCGACTGGATGGCGCTGCCTGCCTGGAGTTCGACGAGCAACGAGCGCAGCAGGAGGATGCTCAGCTGCAGGAGCAGATTCAAAGCTACAACCAGCGAATGGCTGAGTCCAGGAGAATCTATCACACGCCCCAGACTCCACCCGAGGATCACCATCATAGGGGTGGGCCTGGTCTCCCTAGAGGACCAATGGGTTGGTAATGCTATATATTGCTTTATAGATTTAAGTAAGATCTAAGTAAACTCGACAATAAATAGGTGAAACCCATGCAGCGTGCTCTTATAATTTTAAGATTATGTTTAAGGTTTAATATCTGCTCTGATTTACCCAAAACTCTAATTTTACAAGGAACTTCCCAGTTGTGTGTGACATCCATTTCGCGAAAGCCACTCATGTTCACCTAATGATTGTTTATCTAGGCCTCCTTAAGGGTTGCTAGCCGGGGTCTTTGGCCTCATTTGCGCCAGTTTCGGAACAACCACCACCCGAGCCGACTGCCCGAGGAGGAGTGGAATGGGTCCAGCTGCCGTTCCGCCATTCCGCCGTGCTCGCCACTCTCCGGGGTGGGCCTGTCGTGGTTGTCCTCTCTTGACTCTCGATTCGGCCAGAGCACCGGGCCTGTGAGCACGTATTGATTTTCCGCCATTCCGTTTGGGATGCTGCCGAAATAAACTTTGCAACTGGTCTGAATCTGAATCCGAATCCGAGTCAGTCTCTTTCCGAACGCGAAACTGAAAGCGGAAAGGCGCCGAGTGAAAATGGAATAGGTGAAGGGAACGCCGCCGCGGACTAAGAATTCATAAAATTATACATACCGCAGCGATTTGAAAACATTCGGATTTTGTGCCTCAATTTGCTGGTGGTCGCGTACTTTTCCGCACCGTCCGAATCGGCACGAAAAGCTAAGAGATTCGTCTAAAATTAGCGACCGGTGTGTTTTGGTAGGGTGCTCTATTGGCTAGGGTTCTCCGAGTGAACTCCGCCCCTCCGAGTGTTTACCCATAAATTGGCCAAGATGCCTCCTGCATCCAATACGATCGTGCTGAAGAGCCTCTCCGTGCTGCTGGGCCTGTTCTTCATCTTCGTGGGCACCCTCAAGCTGACGCCGCACATCAGCAAGGATCTCTATAAGGACCTGGTGAGTGGAAAATCGATAAGGCCGTAGTTTTAGGCCGTTTGTTTTGGGGTGGAGCCCATCGATTTTTCCCACGCCCCTTCGAATCTGGCGTTTCAAAACTATGTGCTCGCCAATGGGGACGTTCTTATGTAAATGGGTGGAGACACATTTCAAGAAAAGTCCCATTATAGAACGCCTTTCGGAAATATGACTGACTAATGGGCATTGAACTCGACCCCATCAATGCCAATCGCTGACATTCGGACATCGCGAGACGCTATGATCTTCAGAGATATTTCAGGAAAAATATATGCTTTACTATTCAAATAGTCTCCTAAAGAAATTCAGAAAATTTGGATATCGCATGATTTAGGAAGCACTTTTGAGTTTCAGCTTTGCAATTATCCAAATAGATTGTGATTCATTTAAATTGGACAAACATTAATTTTCCAAATTATTCTTGGCGAAAGAAATAAAATTAAGAGTACGATTCTGAAATAGCGTGAAACCTCGAAAATTCGGCAAACTAATTATTAATCACCTTGTTTGTGTAAATTGTTTTGAAAACCTCCAAACAAATTCAAAACTAATGATTTATAGAACAGCTGTTGCTTTGAATTTTTTGTTTACCTCTTGTAAAAACAACGCCCAGAGATTTTCGTTTTCATTACCATACAAATAATTCGAATACCAAAGTAAACATTTGCGAACGCAAGAACCACAATGACGTATTCTTCTCACTCAATATACAGTATACAAATTGGTTTTATATATAAACAATAGGGTGTCCTAAGCGGATTTCCAGAAACTTTATAGTTTTAGAAATAAAAGTAACATAATATCCTGCTAGACCATCCAAAATGCAATTCTCTTCGATGTTTTTGAAAAATGTATTATTCAGCTGGCGTTTTCAAATTGGCATTGCATTCGTTACGCGCCATTTCACTTTCAATTTTCAAGATTTCTCAATCTCTTTTTTGCCGAAGGCATGGCCTTTGGATTTCGAAATATTTGTTTTGTTTGTTGTGCTCCCGGTGGTGTAATTACCTTTGCATTACCACAAACACTCGGGGCACACGATGCCAACAGAAACAGACGAGTGTGACAACAAGAAAGCTTGCTTCCATTTAAAAATAAACCCGCTGCACTGCCTCTTCCTCTGGGCCGCCAGGCGGAGCACATTCCTCTGAGGGTGTTTGTGGGCATGATTAATTTTACCCTCATATTCGGTTTCCTCTCGATTTCAGCGCACAGAGTACGTGAAGTATGCCAAAGTGTTCCCGCTGACGGCGCTCTTCGGAGTGAAGATACCCTCGAAGTGGTACCGCCGCACCGTTGGCATCCTGGAGATCGTCTGCGGCCTGGCCATGGCTCTGATTCCCTATCGTAAGTTCATCGAATATTAATGATGGAGCAGCAGTCGCAGTAATCACTACTTACCCACAGATAAGATCAAGAACGCGGCCAACGTGACGCTGCTGGTGCTGATGCTGCTGGGCATCTACCAGCACTGGATGGTTAGTGATCCCTTCGAGCGGTCCGGACCGGCGCTGGTCTTCACCTTCATGCTGGGCGGCCGCCTGGTGGTCTGGTACCAGACCGCCCGCCTCCAGGACGAGGCCACGACGGCAGCGCAGCCGGCCGCGAACGGCGTGAAGCAGGATTAGGTGCCTGCTCCCGGTGCATCACGTACTCATAGTCATTCACGGATCCAGCTTTGTTTTAGCACCTTAAGTTGGGCTCGAGATTGCGCGCCCTGTCTTCGGGTCTCAAATTCATTCACATCATTCTAGCAAATCGAAATTCATGTTTTCACTTTGGTGCCAAATTATTATCGTATACAAAACTACTATATTGTATGTAATGGCGGGAGATATTAACTAAACTGTAGAGCCGCGACGTAAAGACACGACCAGATCAAACCAAATTGTAATCAAATCCTCTTCGTAACGGGCACTTAGTCGAAACCATTTAAATTACGACTTTAGAAACAATTTTAATAAATTTGAACAACTCATACATATTTAAAATTAATAGTCCAACGTCAGTCAATCTGAATTTCGTTTTACTTCTTCCTTAAACGCGTGATTAGCAGGAGATTATGGGGTATACTGGTGCTCTAAGCTTTAACTGTGCCTCGGAAGCGTTTCCTAAATACGTGTGGATGTGTTAGCCCTACTCGGACCCGGTGCTTAGCAGCTTAAGGGCCTTCTGCAGATTCTCGATGGCGGTCTTGACGTCGTCATAGTTGAGGGCACTGCCGGCGTATTTGCAATACTTCTGGGCGGTAATCATTTGGTCGGGAGTGATTTGCACTCCAGCCACGGGCACAATGGGCTGGTAAATGGTGGCCGCCGTGGCCGGATTAGGCTGAGCCGTGGGCACGTAGGGCACGAAGCCGCCCGGCTTCTCCTCGTCGACCGGCGGACTGGGCAATTTGTTCGGGTTGTTCAGTACCTCCTCGGCGGTGGGAGGAACCACTCCGGAAGTAGTCGGTGATGATGGAGCAGGTTGCTGCGCGTCTGGATCCGGCTGATAGGGCGCAGGAGCTACTGCTCCTGCGTCCTCAGGCGATGTGTCTGCCGAGGCGTTGGCATTCTCACCCTCGAGCTCCGCCTCATCGTCGTCATCTGGCAAGGGGCCGGGAATCGGTGTTTCCCCGTTCTTCAGACAATTGTGGATGTAGGCGGCCTTCCACTTGGCGTACTTCCTGTTGTGCAGCGCCTCTTCGCTCAATTCACCGAAGGTCTGGAGTATGTCGTAGAGTACACCACTGGAGTAGAAGGCCTTAACGACATTTCTGCGGGGAAGCACAATCGTATGAATCAGGAAAATCGATTAAGGGTATTTCGTCTAAAGTAACGCACTTTCCGAAGTTCTCTTCGCGATCCTGTTTGTCGGCGTACAGGAACAGTTTCAAGGCGTAGTTCTCGATGTGTGCCTGGGCAGCCACCTCGTTGGTGATGGCCTCGTTTTCAGCATACTGTTTCTTCATCTGTTCCAGCCAGTCCATGATGCCTGGCGGTCGTAGGGAAAACCAAAACAAAACACGGATGAGTCATACACTGGCAATATGCGTATCGGATTTTTCACTCACCCAGCAGCAATTTGGTTTCCTCGCCCGTTTGGGTGGAGGCCTTGAGGCCCACCTGCAGAGCACTGTATCCGGGAGATCAGTAAATACGGGGAAAACAAGGAAAACCAATCTGTAGGTACTCACTATAGTCTCGCCCAGTAGGCGATGACCACATCGCGGGTATCATGCTCCTGGGCCAGCTTCAGAAAATGCTGGATGGACTTTAGCGAGGGAGGACAGGGCGGAAACTCCATCGTGGTGGAAAGGACTTAATCCTCAGTTCTATGTTTAATTGGAGGATCTGGAAAATTATGCCGACAACAATGGAAATGACTACCACGCAGTGTGACCAGATACAACAGTTTTCGGAATGCCATGGAGCCACCCCAGTTCCACACTCTGGAACTAGCAAAATACTAAAGTTAGTGCCTGCGTCTAAAGTTGTTGGTGCGGCGCTCAGTTGCGAAACTGCGACCAAGACGTTTGGAGTTTTTCAGGTAAGCACTGGGAACTGGTTTATGCTGTTATCAGTGCGACTAATTGCACTTTGCACTTTGACTTCACAACATTTCAGGCAGCACCGGCAACATGGTTCTCTCCAAGCCCCTGTACTCGCTCCTTGGCACTTATCTGGAGCAGCTCTTCAACCACCCGGTCCGCACCAAGTCCATTACGGCGTAAATACACTAATCCCATTATCATCCGGTTCGCTTAGCTTACTGGTTGCTCCTGATTGCAGATGTGTGCTGGCCACCTCGGCGAATGTCACCTCCCAGCGTTTGGCGGGGGCCAAGACCCTCAACCAGCATAGTGTATTCGCCTACGGACTCTACGGACTGATCTTCGGCGGTAGTGTGCCGCACTACTTCTACACGACGGTGGAGCGACTCATCAGCCAGGATGTGCGCTTCAGGAGGTTCTTCCTGTTCCTCTCCGAGCGACTGGTCTATGCTCCGATTTACCAGGCACTATCCCTGTTTTTCTTGACCCTTTTCGAGGTGAGAATTGTAAACCGTTTCGGATAAGGTGCCCTTTTTGTGATACCATAATCCAAATTCCTAGAACTGTAATAAAACTCTAATCTTGAATCACTTGCAGGGCAAGACTCCCAGCACGGCATTGAAGAATGTTGAGAAGCTCTACTGGCCTCTGCTCAAGGCCAACTGGCAGTACCTCTCAGTGTTCGTGTACCTCAACTTCGCCTACGTGCCCCCGATGTTCCGGTCCATCAGCATGGCCATCATCTCCTTCATCTGGGTGGTGTACATCGCCCAGAGGCGTCGCCGCTTCCAGGAAAAGCAGGCAGCCAAAGAGGCCGCCAAATAGGCTATCCGACCCTTAAACCCAGTGGTAGCCGTCTTTGCCTAAATATTCCAATTACAGTTTAGATTACGGCTGAACTGCTTCAAGTTCTTTATCTGCCCGCGTTCCGGCGGATTGCAAAAAGTCCGTGTGTGTTTGAGGACTTTAGATAAGCTAAAACTAAGTGGAGGGCGCCTTATCAACCGACTGTTGTTATACCTTAAATTTTGTAAACTTTTCGTACTAAAATAAACTAATATACAATGTAGATCTCCATTTCCGTGATGGAACAAGAAATCTGTGGTAAACTACCGCGCCAACAGAAATGCATAGCAAGTAGAAAATTGTAAACGATCGGCGATCCAACAGCCGATTTCCGTGGCTTCCAACCAAAGCGCAAGATGGATTGTGACGCGAGGTGTTCATCGAAAAGAATCCCACTTTGTGAAATGGAAAGGCAACCTTTAGAGATGCAACAAATGTTTTTTTTTTATTAAACGCTGCTTAAAACTAGCAAATAATCGAGCAAAGGCTTACGAACGAGTATTATTGGCTTAATATCGGGGCTACAATATAATTTGCTAGTAAATTCATGGGCAGATGACTAACTTAGGGCTACGGAATGCGGTGTAAAACAAGTTAAATGCGCATAACAACTATCTTAGGACTAGGAGTCTGACTAGTGGAGGTGACTATGGTGACATGGTGACTATGATGGTGATGATTGAGTGGCAGCCGTGCCTCAGGACTCGCGGCACATTTTGCGCAGCGACGCGGTTAACACTCAGAAAGCGACCGTCGAGGGACTCCGGCTGTTGCGCAGGGGCGTGAGAAGGGGCGTGGCAGGACTGCTGGCGCGGCTGAAGCAACTGGAGCAGCAACTTGAGGCCTCCTCCGCCTCTCCATCGGCGTTCGCCTTGTGGTGATAGGGAATCGGTCGCTTGCGAGCGCTGGAAGCACAATAAATAGATTAGTAAAGGATCCGTGTGTGAAGCTTAATAACCGGTATGCAAATATAAAAGTAACTCACCAAACTGAAAATCGTAAGGAACACAAAAGCATTGGCTAAAAATCAAACAAAAGAAATCCTATAAAACCATATAATCGGTAAGGTGACAAAGTTTATTTGCGGCTTGGCTAAATTACGAGAAATTAGGATGACACATAATTGAATAGCTACAAAAATATATTAGAAGATTGGCGAGTAGTTAAAAAAGTCAAATTATAAGTAGTTCCTGAGTCAGCTGAAAAAAATAAATTCATTTAGACGAAATCAGGAGTTACGTGCTGTATGAATAAGGTGTAAAATCAATGTAACTCAAGTGGATAATGGATAATAGCAACCAACTAGCGTCTTGTGCTGCGTGGCGATCGACGGCTACGAAATTAGAACAAATAAAATGTGAAAGAAAACGATTATTTAAAGAAATAATGAGGTAAACCAAGGCGGAGCAGGAATCCTGCCTAGCTACCTCGTTATGCGACGTCTGTCCAGAAAGCTTGGCGAGCCGCGACGCCTTGGGATGGAGGGCGATCTAGAGCCGGACTGTGATGATCCGGAGCCGCTGCCGGAGGAGGAGCTGCCCGAGCTGCTGTGCGAGGAGCAGCTGGAGCGGGAGGAGTGCGACCCGGAGCGGGACCTTGAGCTGCGCGATCCGCTGCGACTGCTGGACGAGCTGTAGCGCCTATGAAGAGAGATTAGATACGACATTAGTCTACATTTAGCACATTCCTCCACCAAGTACTTACGATCTCGACCGGCTGCTGGAGTGATGTCGATGATGGCTGGTGCTGGTGCGCCTCTTGCTGCGACTCCGGCTCCGACGCTCTCGACTACGGCTTCTACGGGCCGCACTCTCCGCCGCCGCCACGGTGGCCGTGGATACCTTGGAGACGATGGCGTCCACCAGTGAGCTGTCCGCAAGCGCTGCGACTAGGGGCTGTGGATCGTGAATTTTGAAGGGTTTTATAACGATTTTCGGTTTCTGTTGGTGCTGATGGTGATGATGATGGTAGCTAATACTATTGGCGGCCACGGCCGCAGCCGCTGCCGCCGCATTGAAGCTAATGGGACCGCCACCACCCCGGATATGAGAAGGATGACCCAACAGCGGAGCACCGGCCCCACCCATGCCCACACCAGCTCCCGTCAGGGACAGTAGTCCCGGATGGCGCGGCCCGTGGCCGAATAGAGTCGAGTTGTAGACCAAGCCACGAGCCAGGTGGTGCGCCTGCTGTTGCTGCAGGCTGTGCTGGTGGTTCTTGCAGATGTTGTAGTGGGTGGCGGTAAGCAGAGGACCGTGGTTGAGGCGGTTGGTGGTGCGATTGTACGTGCCCGGCGTGCCCGCCAGAAACGGGAGCATGGCCGGGTTGTTGCTGTTCCCGCCGCTATTGCCACTGTTGGGATTTGAATGAGGGACCCCGCCACCACCACATGCATGAGGGTTGTTAGTACTATGTCTACTGTTAGGGTTATTGTTCAGCGTGCGGTTGTGGAAGATACGCTTCCCCGGAGGATGCTGGTGATGTTGCTGCTGCTGCTGCGACTGGTGATGCATGTGCTGTGGAGGCGGCCTGTTGTGGTGCACGTGGTTCTTGTAAACCAATGTCGGACTCTTTGCTTCGCCATTCGCCACCACTTGGGGCGTCTTGCAAATGGGCGGTGTGCTGGCGTCCCTTTTCTTGACCGGATCCTCCACAGGCACGGACAGCTCTGGGTCCGGATCTCGCAGCAGAGGCTGCTCCTGGTGCTCATCCAGCGGCAGTATCGCCGCCAAAGTCGGCGGGGGCGTCGTCGTTAGTGTTAGCGGGGTTGTAGTCAGTGGGTTAATCAAAGCGGTCACGTTGTTAGCAACAAGGAATTCGCTTAGCGAGTTACGTTTAGTAGCCGTCACCAGGTCGCTGCCACTTACTTCGCTGCCCTCTTTGGCCGGGTCTTTCTCCATGATCTTGATCTTCTGCTTGGCCTTGGCCGCTATGCCAGACTTCAGTTGCTCCAGCATGCGCAGTTCCTGCTGTTCCTCGCGCTCGCGCCTGCTCTGCTGGAATTCCTCCAAGGCGGTACCATCTACTCCAGTTTCGGCATCGCTGCCGTCGTCGCTTTGTGCCCTCAGGCGGACCACTGGAGCAGGTTTCGTCGAGTGGGCATCCCTCACTTTGGACGGTCGCTTTTTGTCCTGGACGATGTCGTGGTAGCGTTCCGGATGGCGTTCAGCTGGCGAGTACCGCAACTCAGAGGAACCTGAGCGAGAACGACGCCTCGTAGGCTTGGGACTTGCTTCGACCACCTTGCTCTTTGACTTGGACTTTTGCGGGGAGTTAGATCGCTCCCGTTTCACGCTTCTGCGGACCTCTTCCATGGGGCTGGCCTCCTTTTTTACCTCTTTTTGATCTGGCGACCTGCTCCTCTTCTTTTGTTTCCTGGGGGTGGGCTTAGGCGATGGCGTACGCGAGGAATTCGAGCTACTACTGGAGCTGTCGGAATCCGAACTAGAGCTGGAAGCCGCCCGCTGGCGCTTAGTCTGTTCCAGAGCCACCATCACCGACTTCGTGCCAAGGATATCGTTAACAGTGTCCTCCGCCGCCTTAAAGGGATTGAAGGCTGGTGCGGGCACCGACTTCTTAGGTGGCGCCTCTGGGGAATGGGCTGGCGATTGGAATCGGGAATTGCGGCTTAATTTAGTGTCATCGTGTCGCTTTCTGCTGGCGTTGGTATGCTTGTTAGGAGACCGCTGTCGGCGGTCATCTCTCGTTTTGGAACTGCGCTCTCTTGGCGATCGTGTGGGCCGCGGTTCCTTGGCTGGACGTTCTCTGGAACGCTGTCTCTCCTTGGAACGTTGCCCGTCCTTTGATTGTTGCGGCTCCTTAGAGCGCTGCCTCTCCCTTGAACGCTGTCTATCCTTAGAGTGCTGTCTCTCCTTTGATCGCTTCCGTTCGTTAGAACGTTGCCTTTCCTTTAATCCTTGCCTATCCTTGGAGAGCTGCCTCTCCTTAGAGCGCTGCCTCTCCCTTGACCGATGTCTATCCTTCGAGCGCTGCCTCTCCTTCGACCGTTGCCGCTCGTTGGGACGGGGTTTTTCCTTTGACCGATCCCTGGATCTATCTCGCCTTTTGTCCACTGATTGTTTCTCTTCCTTGGGCCTGTGTTTTTCCTTGGACCTTTGTCTATCCTTGGACTTGGATCGCCGTCTTTCCCTGGATCTTTCTTTTTCTCTTTCCTTGGATTGCGGCTTATCCTTGCATCTTACCACGTCCTTCGACCGGGACCGCTGTATTTCCTTGGATCGCTGGTTTTCCTTGGACTTTTGTCTTTCTTTGGATCGCTGCCTTTCCCTGGAGCGTTGCCTTTCCTTGGAGCGCTGCCTTTCTCTAGATCGCAGTCTGTCTCTCGACCTGTGCTTCTCCTTGGACCGCTGCCTATCCTTGGAGCGCTCTCGATGCCTTCCCGGCTCCTTGCGAGGTGGTGTAGCCGCTGACCGTTCCCTTGCCTTGTGATGACGACTGTCTATGGAGGCTTCGAGTGGCCTGGACTTCGTATCCTTGCGCTCGCGAGAACGGCTGCGCGTGACATTTTCCTGCTGCGCAGCCTTCTCATCGGACTTGGCAGCCTTTGGACCACGGGACCTGTCCGGTTTGTTCTCCTTCCGCGATGGAGAGCTAGGTTATACAAATTTTAGTTCTTCGTTCTTGAATTATAGAACTCTCAACTTACTTTGAGCGCTCCGAGTCCGAAGAACTGGCTCGTGCGCGTGCCTTCTTTTTCAGCTTCTTGTCGCGTTTTTTCTGCATAATAAAAGAGTATGGAGTGTTAGTGGACCGACTAAGTGCTTGGCGCTCTTGCTAAGAGTCTAACTGTTAGCAGTAATGTCAAACATAGTTCATTCTTTATGGCATGATAGACATATGAAGTTAGAGTTTGGTGCTTTCAATTTTGCAGCATTTGACTTTCGCAAGCATTCTCTCTAGGACTGGAAACAGTTTTGCATTTTTCTGTATTTGTACAACAGTTTTGATCGGCTATCACTTCGCACTAGGTATCATATGGATGTTTATAAGTAGCTTAAAGAGAACAGTCAAATGAAAGTACTTACAAAACTACAAGAGAGCCATTGAAAGCTATCCTATATTAATGAAGCGCCAAGGGTTTTCATAAACAAAATATAAATTTTTTCGTTTCTTGAATTTACTTAAGTATCTTTGAATGATTTAATTGTTCGAAAGACAATCTACGTGTAACGGAAATTTGGAATAATCAAATTAAATGTTGGA